AGTATTGTGTAATCATGTTACACTTACATGTGAGTATTCTGATACTGAGACAACTCAGTTGGTGCCCATTGAGAGCACCAACTTACTCACCCACGGGGCCAAAACCCGTACAGAGTGAGTATGAGTTGAGTATACTCATACTCACTTCTGCATTCCTGACTCAAACAATCAGGTTCGTGCCACCTTTTTCAAAAAATGTCAAAAACATAGATTCAAAGTTGATCTTTTGGCGGGGGAATTCCTGGGAATTTGCTGGAACTTTTTTTTTGGATTTTTCTACAGTTCATTTTCCCCACAAAAACGACATTTTGAAAGCAGGTTTTCAAGAAAGGTAGCACGAACCTGATTGTTTTGAGTACCGTAAATATTGCATTGTCGGAGCGGCTCAAGCGGCTGAGCATGTGCTCAAGTCCTTTTGGCTTCCCGGGCAAAAATTGCTTATGCCTTAAGTAATGTTCTCAGGGCGCCGTACGACTTTCTGTGGTTACATACCTCCTGTGGGAGTTATGCCCGTTTTGGATGTATGTATCTGAATTTGTAATGTATCAAATTCCAAATACGGAAGGCCCGGACTCTCGAAAACGGGCGGCCCATATTTCCTCGTTCCTTTGATTGCTCTCGCTGATTAGAAGATCAATCAGCTGTGTAAGTTCCAAGTTGTGTCTTTGAACTCGAAGGTACATTTTTTTTTTTTTTGCATTGTTTTAAGTGTTTTTTTAGCCGCTAGGCTATCAAACACTTGTAATATGTCCAGCACCGGTAAAACCCCTCTGGCTGTGTCAGGGGAAAGGTTGCTGTTGGCGGTTTCATCTAGTATACATGTTTGATAGTGTGTAATGTGAAGAAGGGCGATGAAGTAGGGATGAAATAGATACTATTCTATTGGTTGATGCCTGTCTGGCGGGAGTGGTTGGTCTGTGGCAATTGCCCAGGTCCATCGGTTTGCAAACCTCCAAGTGGAGTTGCAATAGTCTGCTATAAGTTTGAAGCATCTGGGGTCGGAAAGGAGTCGTTTGTTCAGCGTGGTAGCATGTTCGTGAAGTGCTTGTTCAAGCGTGTTTTGGTGAAATTCGTATATCTGACAAATAAAAAGAAAGTGATCAACATTTTCGATGCCCTCTTGGCAATCGCACGTTGGGTCAATTGGTTGTTTAAATTGGTTTAGGTATGCGTTGAGTGGGGCATGGCCTGATCTTAATTGGGTGATTGTGGCGACTTCATGCTTGAGGAGTGTTGACAGGCCGTCCAGATGCTTTTTTGGTTGTGGTTTGTGTCCTAAGCGCTTCACTTCTTTCTCGTCAAAGGTTTCAGTTTGTTCGGTTCGCCATTCTTTGATGGCTGCTAGGAAAGCTGCGGTGTTAGGTGTGTTAGTAAAAGTACTCGGTAAGCTTCTTTTTGCTAAGGTATTAGCAATCTTATCTGCGGCTTCATTTCGTGGTATGCCTTTGTGACCAGGGCACCATCGTATTGTGATGCGCATGTCCGGAAAACTCTGGTGCAAGCATTGTAGAATTTTGAAGGTCTGTTGTCGGTTATCGAGAGATGAGATTGATGAGGAATTGGAGAGTAAGTCTTTTACTACTCCCTGGTTGTCAAGTACAATGGTTGTTCGTCGTGTAGTTGGAGTTTCTCGAAGGTACATATACCTACACCGTCTCGGTCATGATCCTCATCCCGTTTTGACATCTGGATCGTTCCTGAGACGGAGGTGGGGAGGACCCTGGAAAGCGCCTATGGAGGTCGGTGACGAAAAAGGTCGGAATTTGGGCAAAAATCGGGGCTGAGTTAGTGACGAAAAAGGTCGGAATTGTGATTTCTGGATAAAATGTTAGGGCGCGTTCACTTAAGCAATTTCTGGTGAGAAATCACATTCTGCAAAATTTAAAGTGTCTATCTGGTGGTGTATGTTTCATTTTTGCATTAAAAAATTTACAGAATGTGATTTCTGGTCGGAAATTCCTTAAGTGAACGCGCCCTTAGTGACGTGAAAGGTCGGAATTCTGATCTCGAGTCAAAAAAATTTCACTGACCATGGACGGTCTGGGTCAGTGGTCAGTTCACGATTGTGTACTGTCTGGGTCACAGTTCACAATTGTGTACTGCTGGGTCAGTTCTGCCAGTTCATGATAGTGAACTGTCAAGCTGTACAGTTCACAATCCTATATTAATTTATGAATGTACGTTCAGTACGTTCGCTCTGGTTTGTTATATAAAACATCAGACAAAGAGGGAAAATGTCCTCAAATGTCCAAAAGCATCACAAAACGTTGGAAAGTGTCAGAGGAGATGTCAAACAAAAGAAGCTAAAGAAGACTGAGAAAGAGGTCCGAAACGGGGCTTGAAAAGAGAGAAAACAAATGATATGTCTTTCAGCCAGTCTTTTGAAAACATCTAAAAGAAAACTTTTATTTGCGCTGTGAAACCCCTGGAGAACTCTTACAAAATGCCTAAAAGAACCCGAGAAACTTCGAATGATGTAGTAGATGTCCTTGTTATCGAGAGTGATCCGGAGGAGGACAACAATTCCAAAGACAACGATGTTATCTTTGTGGAAGAAGTTTCCACCAGCAACACGAGCACTTCCAGACCACCAAAGCAGACCAGCACGGCCGCCATACCACCAAAGAAGAAACAACAGACCGGAACGACTCCTCGAAGGAATCCAATACTTTCATGTCCCCTATCGAAGCCCAATAAAGAATGTTCCCGCTGCAAGACTGATGACACGGTAAATCAAAAAACTCTACATTGTCATTGTGGAAGTAAGATTAAACTTCGAAAGGGACGTTTAGAAGCTGCTGAGGATCACTGGAAAAGCCGTACGTCCAATTAATGATGAAATTTTATAAAAGAGATCTCAATATATACATGTACTTTGTCATCCAGGAGCTTGTAAAGATCGTACAGAGAGGATAGAGGCAAACAAAGTCCTCTCATCCTGGGTCACTGTCACAAAGGTCAAAAAGACGATTGATATGCCATGCTCGGGATTAACTGACGAGTCATGGAAGCGACCACGATCCAAGTACACTATTGCCAATTGTATTGAACATTCTCCTATGCCATACCACGGGGCTAAACGCTGGGTTATATGTCAAGAGCTTTTTGGTACAACTCAAGAGATTCAACTTTCGGCCGATCAGAAGAAACGACTGCACAACACTCTCGAAGCGAACGCGGTTTGGAAAATTCGGCGACATGGCGAGCAGGCATCTATCCACTCGGCTCAGTGTACTAACAAGGTGGAATGTCATGCTGGTACTTTGCATCCGATGTGTGATAAGTGTGAGGAATTGAAAAAAGTTAGAAGTCTCATCAAATCCATCAATACTCTTTACGCTACAGATGAGACAATCAAATACATACCAAGAGTTTTGATGACCGGTGACCAATTTCAAGCGGTCCTAAGAAAGTTTACAGAGCTCCAGATCCTTCAAAAATCATTAGAGAAAGCTACTGCTGAAGGGGATGAGGAATTCTGGACTGCGATCGGAACGTATGGGAAGGCTGGCCTTTTTAAAGATAAGGATGTAGTTCGAGGATTGATGATGGCAGTAGGTGTGCGAGCCGAGAGAGAGTCAAAAGGAAAAAGCTTGCGAGGAAGGCGGATTGATGTCTACTTGGACAACTTCTTAACAACATTGGGCTCTATCAGCTGTTGTTCCCTCAAGTTCTTCAACGACAACTTTTCCGGCCGGTCTGCTCGGAGCATGCGTCAAATTCAATTGCTCTCTGGTATGAATCTTGAAGACGGGCTACATTCTTCAAATTTTGAGCATGTTGCTGCAATCCTTGAACAACTCAATTACACAGGACCAGTGGCAGCAGCAACAGACGAGACAGTATGTGTGAAGTCGTTGCGCCATTACAATGGCTTCATAGTAGGAGCCCAGGGTGGTGACATCAGCTTTGTTGATGGAAACAATATTGAGAAAATAGTAAAGTCAACTGTATCGTCCGGAAACCTTTGTTCAAAGGTGAGTTTTTGTGTTCAAACACACTCTCAATATGTGTTTGATACTTATGAAAATCAAACCTCAATTCCTTTGATTTTATTTAGATTCAAGCATATACTATACAGGTGCCTTTACCCAACATGTCTACATTTATAGTTGCCGTGATTGCTAGTCGAAGCAAGGAGAATGCCTCAGATGTTGCTGCTCAACATCATACTTTTTTTTGTGAATGTCAATCAGCAGGAATCAATGTTCTTTCACTTGGATCTGATGGTGCTCCAACTGAGCTGGCTGCACAAGAGCAAATCATCGAGTCAACAACTCAGTACTTGACTTACTCCAACAACAATCTTGATGTCTTTGTCAAGGTACCTTTACTGGGCGAGAATTTAATGCCTGTTGTATTGGTTCAGGACCCAAAGCACGCACGGAAGACGGCCGCAAATCAACTCCTCTCCAGAGCTCGTGTACTTGCATTTGGACGATACTATGTTGATATCCAGCAACTTGCAACCATCCTACAAGATGCAAACTCGCCAATCTACAAACGTGATGTTTTTGACTGTGACCGACAAGACAATGGACGCGCTTATTGTACGTTTTCTGCCAAGACCCTTGAATCAGCTCTCAAACACGAAGAATGTACCAGACTGGCTGTATATCTCTTCATTTTTGGAGAGATGTGTGATGCATGGCTCAACCAAGATATTGGACATCGAGCACGTATTTGATCAGCCTGGACAGCCGCTTTTTTCATTCGTATCTGGAACAACTATCTTACTCGGCGACAGAATCAACCACACAGCCTAATGAGTGTTTCAGCTAATGGAATTTCACCTCAAAGCTTCAAGATATTCTCAACAATGGCCTTACGCCTCATTGGTCTCATTATTTCACATTGTCAATTTTATTCTTCAATTCCCTTGATGCCTTGGAAACATGGAACTGAGCCACTTGAGCACGCATTTGGTTGGATGCGAGTAATTTCACCCAACTTCACTGTTCTTGATGCCCGACAGATGATTCCAAAGATTCATGCTGTGGTCAAGAGTCTGGCAAGTGGTATGGTGAACTTCGAAGGATCAGAACATATACATGCTGGTACGTTTTTACACTTCTGTATAAAAATATAAGTGAACTATCAGATGACTGATTGATGGACATGGAATAGGATATAAACACGCATTTGCAAACGAAAAAGCACCCACGCACACCAATCACCTTTGTCACTTCCCAAATGATGAAGAAATTACATTCAAGCTTAATGCAGCCAAAACGTATGCCACAAGTTTGGCTGCTTTTGTTGGGATGCACGACAGTCCAGTTGTTGACGACTCAGAACTACACTCAAATTTGACAAGCTGCGATGGTACACATTCTTATTCTTTCATTGACTAATCATCTAGATCCCTAAACTGACTGAGCATGATATCAATCAGATGTCTTTGTATGTCTTAACCAAGGCACGACTTAAGGGAAGAGTTCCATGAGCAAAGTTCTAGGGTAGTGAGTTAACCTGTACAACCTGTACGGAAGAATGTTTTCCAACATTCAAGATTCCAAATCTGGAAAATTTTCGCACCCAACCTTCACACCCTTTTCGAACCTTGCAAATAGGATCAAGACATTCAAAGTTTCTATAGCTCAATCCCTACACTCCATCTTTTTGTGATCCCGTCCTAAGTTCTCACGCCTTCTTTCAGAAACCATGTCATCTTTCAACAAAGAGGTCGAAGCAGCAAAGAAGAAAGTCACAGCTGCAGGAACAAAGATTCGATTAACAAGAAAAAGTCACAAAGAACAGGGAGTACCGAATGCGGATCAAAGCGCAACAGGCGAAGCTAGCACCAGCAACGCACAAATACAACAACGACTTTCTAACTCCAACAACGGGCAGCAACAACAGCCACAGACGGCGGAAGAACAACGTGCTAGCGGAGGGAACGGCAGCGGGAATCGGGATCAACAAACTGAGGAGAAGACCGCTGACAACATGGTGGAGGACCAAGGTGTTAACGAACCGTCGGAGGAGAACCAAGAGAATCGTAAGTTATCGCAGAGAGAGCGGAAGAAACAAAAAGAAAATTCCTTTTTTTTGTTTTTTTATATATATTCCCCCACAATAAATATCCAAGTCCCTTTCTCTAGACACTTTCCAGAAGATTCCTCGGCCTATAAACCTTTTGTCTCCTACCCAAAGAAAAATCGTTGTTTACGTGCTACCACATCACACAAACGCTGCCTAAATCTTCCAAAGGAAAGGCAGCGGGAGTAGAGATATCAAAGAGAGAAGAAATGAAAAGATTCGTTTAGGCGATGAGACGAAAGGTGTCCCAGTCACATAATACTGAGGCTAGGCACGAGCTATATCGTGACCAAAAAAGTTCCAACGATGGAAATGAAAAAGGCAATATATAGCCATGCACAAAATTGTTGAGCAAAGTGTGATAACGAAGTCATGAAAGTAGCAGAAAGTACTGAAACATACCGTGAAATCTTTCTCCTAACACAGAAGTGCTTAATCACGAGGACCGAAAAGCAAAGTGGATGGAAAGGCTAGAGCACGAGTATTACTGGGGAGATCATCAACGAGCAGACAAGATGCTCAGAGCGTTCAACGCAGTGTACGGCGGCGCAAACCCTACGCAACAAGAACGGGACAACATAACCAATAATGCCGTCAACATTGTCGGTGGGAAACGTGCTAGATCTCCGGACGGACAAGAAAACATACAAGATGTAGTCCAACGTCCAAGAACCGAGTCGCTAATCCCAGGCGGAGAAAGCGAGAGCGACGGGGAGCAAGCCCCAGCCCAGGAGAAGAAGAAAGATCCGGAAGCCAAAAAGGTTGTGACGAAGAGGAAGAAAGCTATCGAGCAGATGGACCTCTCTAGCGACAAAGACTCAGGGAGTAGTGGCGACGATGATAATGGTAAGTGAACCACATAGTCGGATGACCCGAGCCATAGTGGAGGCGAGACCTGAATAAACTGACGAAATAGATGCTGCGTTCCAGAAACGGAAGAAGGTATTACCTATATGATAGGAAAACCGATAGAGGGATCGATACTGCTGCCTTTAACCCCGTATTTCGAAAACAGGATGAAAAATCTGAAAGCTTACGTTCAGTTAACGGTTTTCGACCCTGCATGGATCGAAAGCGATCACCGTCAAGTAGGAAAGAAGAAAACAAAATCCCTGAAAGAATTACAAGAGGATGACTCAACGGCTACTTACTCAGGACTAACACCCCCAGAAGAGTTACTAATGACTTACGGGGCGTGGACGGACGCAATTGATTTATTCATAAAGTATGTCGAGACCGAATACAATAGACCAGCCGCCGCGAAAATGTTCAGACGCCACAGAGATAACGTGCGGAAGATAAGGAGTTCAACGAAGTGCTGGATGGTGGCTTTAAGATACTGCATGAAAGTAAGGCTGGTCGTCATGGTGGTAAAGAAGAAGGACGGAAAGAGGGTCATGATCGACGCAGGACATCTTCACGAAGAAATTTTACGCGAGGCAAAAGACGATGCGGACAATAACGGGGAGAGGAAGTTCCTCGAGAACCCGTACGTCGCAGGCGGTGGAAAAGAATCGATTGACCCAGTTACGGGTTTGACAAAGTCAAGTGCGAAACGCAACTTCGCATCCAACAACGGAGGTTCGACAAGCCATGGTAAGTTTTCAGGACAAACCGTTTTTTAGACATCCACCCACAAACACTAGATCAATCGTATCAAGCTAACAAAGAGACCGGCTTACCCACAAACGTTGTTATGTATACAGGGAGTTCGTCGGCAAACTTGAGCGAACCCTGGGGCAAACCAGCCGGCGCGGGTTACCAAGGTAGAAATTTCATCGAGAACTTCAGCTCTTTCAAAAAGGCAAACGGTACCTGGAACCCGGGGAAGAAGACCGACGCAAACCAGGTTTTTGGGGCTGACGGAAACGGAAAAGGGAAAGTCCAGTACAAGGGAAGAGGTGGCGGTAACGCAGGTACCGGGAACAGTAGCACTGGTAACCACACTGAAGCTGAAAAGCAGTAAGTCCGGACTGTTTAGAAACTATAGAGATGTAGTACAATAGCTGTGATCCCACATGAAAAGTAATAATTCGTTTCAATACAAACACCTTTTTCCATCATAGAGACGTTCAGACAAACGAACCTGAAAAATTTGTGAGAATGGCCCCGCCCATCGTGAGAAAAAAGATAGAGTTGCCAAAAGTTGTGAACCTCGTTCCAGACCCAGAACCAACTAGAACCGCTGTAGAAGAAACAACTCAGCGCGTGACAAGCCAGACCTGCAGAAAATACCTACCAACGTCGAGTCAACCACACCCTCCAGAGCATTTAAAACCAAAGCTCGTAAACGAGTACAGGACCTCAATACCAAAGCTAATACCATCACTCCCAGAAGGCGGTTATCATATGAACAGGGTTTGGCCAGAAAAGGTCGAGTGCGAAATGAACCTTGAGGCCTGGGAGAGAACTTTAAAGACGCTGTAGAACTTATAACCCAACAAGGGTTATACAGAGCTGGAAGAAGATAATGTACTAATAAAATGACTAGTAGAAGTTGTCTAAGGACTGCTCTTCTAAAACAACACAATCAGAAAGAGCTCGTTTGTATTGAGTACTGATAAGGCACCAGAGAAATATAACTTCACACGTAATTTTAACTTCAAAAGCACACTTTGTATTACTATCAACACTGCTATAGTGTTATTCCCAATTGATAACTGAAAGAAATAAGCAATATCTGATTGATATTATTCCCAATAAGTCTTTATGACTATAAAACTAAAGTAAATTTCTCTTTATAACTGTAATAAGGGGCGTATTTAAGTGACCAGGTACTATTAAAATAAGTTTATAATGATAAACAAAATAATAATGGCGTAAATGATAAAGAAAAAAGGGGAACAACAGTCCCAAAACCCTCTCAAAGTATATATAACAATGTACTAGAACTTTTACAATGGTCAACAGCCTCAAAACCAATCAAATCCGCCCAAAATTCCCTAAAAACCCTATGATGACGCAATGTAATGATTTTGTTACTAATAAATGATGTAATTTTCACAGCTAAAAGTGATCAATGACGCAATAATATGATGTACAGCACTTCTTATGATGAATACAGGTGATTTTTTCCTTGTAAACTAGCTGAAAACCAATTTTTGAGATTACGAATTTTTTCAGATGTGCTCCAATTTTTGATTACTAAAGTGCATCTTGTAGCCCACGTGTTACTGATCATTTCTGACACCTACATGACCTACTTCTGATGAGTGATGAGTAAGATATTGAGTTGTGAAGTTAAGGTTTTTAGTGTTACATGTGACTTGTGACTGTAAATTCGAGATTCACACCAATTCTTTATTTGCCTTATAACTTTTTACACACACCTCCGTTACTAATGATTTAAAGTTTGTACATTATGTAATCCACTCTTCTGCGTTGAATGAGCCATCTACCAACCTATTCTGACGTCATTTGACATATGTAATTAGCTGAAAACCTCCATTTTCCACGAATTTCACCCATTTTCTTCACTTTTCACAGCTGCCACCCTCTTTTTCTTGCTCATGTAATATGACATCATCATCTATAACCTTAAAAATCCCGGAAAATCCTCTTGGCAACCTTAAATTCCATCACTACCACTATTACACAACCAAACTACACGTGTACCTCTTGTTTACCAACTTCAAAAAAGTGCCTTTTTCCTAATAACTTCTGTTTCTACTTATCAACCTTGAAGATTAAAATTGTCATAGTATAATATAATGTTGTTCTTTCATATTCTAACCTCATAATACCCATAACTTTATTTTTACTAACCTAAAAACCATTTTCCAACCTTTGTACCTATAATTTCGAATTTTTCTTATGTTTTTCTTTCTTTCTTTTTGTAATAAATTTGTAAGTAAACTATAATGATCTTAATATATAATGTGAAATAAAATGATGTAATGTTGACCTAATGACCAATACATAAGCCTACAAGAGCTTCAATTGATCAAAAACCTCCATTTTGAATTTTCTTTCCTGCTGAATCCTGCTAATAAACTGGTAAACTGGTAATTGTGAATTTTTTAATTGATCCCATAAATTGATCACCACAACGCTGGACTTGATAGAGAAGCACGGTTATGTTCTGCAGGGTTTCAGATATGGTTTCACTCAGGGGATTCCACAGCATACCATCGGAAACAAGAAGTTCTACGCGCCGGATAATCACGCGACTAGTACCAAAGAGAAGAGCGAGATAAGAGAGAAATTGTCGAAAGAGCTGAAGTCAGGACCAATGCGCGGCCCGTTCACAGAGGAGGAGGTCCTTTCTACCCTCGGCTTCTTTAGGACCAGCCCGATGGGGATGGTAACGAATAACGACGGATCAACACGGGTTATAAACGATCTATCTCACCCAAAAAGAATAGAAGGTTTGTCGTCAGTAAACTCGTTAGTAGACAAGGAGGATTTCAAGACCAGTTGGGATGATTTTAAAACAGTAGCGACTTTCTTTAGCCAAGAAAAAGGTATACTAGAGCTAGGAATCTTTGACTGGGAAAAAGCCTACCGGCAAATTCCCACCTGCCCTGATCAATGGAGATACTTAATGCTCAAAACCTCAGAAGGACGTTACATCTTAGACACGAGGGTATCATTTGGTGGCGTTGCCGGCTGCGGGAGTTTCGGGGGTCCAGCCGACGCCTGGAGAGCGATAATGAAGAAAAAGTTCGATTTTGTAGAAGTGTTCAGGTGGGTCGACAACAACTTGTTCATAAGGAGAGCAGGGGCGATCAACCAGACGTCGATGAAGGAGGTGGTAGACGCTAGTGCCGAGCTGGGAGTAAAAACCAACGAAGGAAAGTACTCTGAGTTCCAAACCGAACAAAAGTACATAGGATTCATCTGGAACGGACGAGACAAGTCAGTGCGCCTCCCAGAACAAAAGAGACAGGAACGCCTACAGCAAATACGAGAAGCAATAGCAAATGAAGGGCCACACACTCACAAAGCGATACAAAAATTGACAGGAAGGCTGGACCATGTCACATACATGCTCCCTCAAATGCGATGTTACAACGTACACTACACCAAATGTAATCTTTACCGGGCGGTAAAGAAAACTACTGACATAGAAAAGTCTTGAGGCAACAGGAAGAGAGCTAAAAATCTGAAAAAATATACACCTTGTTCCTAGATGTTGGGGCGTCATGATGAGTATTTTTTTGTATTTTACACACAGATATTGGTTTATGTACTAACAATAAACGCTGAAAATCATCAAAAACTCACATGTAACAATACCTGAAATTTGGGTCATGAGTATGAAGACAATATTTTGTGGTCTAAAAACTTCATTACCTTTTGCAATTCTGCTCCAAATAACTCGATTTTTGGTTCATTCAAAAGCTGAACTATTCTCCTTCACACTTCATAATGTTAGTAAGGTTCTATCTAGTCATTTAAACACTCTACATATGTTCAAACAGTTCTGCATGAATAGCTCTGTAGGATCTTTTTTAGAACAGCTACAGATGTGATGTCTCAATGAAAAATTTAGAGGAAAGACTCACCTTTATAATGCACTTCAAATTGAGTGATTTGATTCAGAACTGCAAAAGGTATTGATGTTTGAAGATTCCAAAATCCTGTCTTCAAAATCAAGGGCCAAATTTCAGGTATTGTTACAGGTGGGTTTTTGATGATTCTCAGCCTTTATTGTTAGTACATTAACCAATATCCGTGTGTAAAATACAAAAAAATACTCATCATGACGCCCCAACATCTAGGAACAAGGTGCATATTTTTTCAGATTTTTAGCTCTCTTCCTGTTGCCTCAGGACTTTTCTATGTCAGTAGTTTTCTTTACCGCCCGGTAAAGATTACATTTGGTGTAGTGGTAGGCCTCTACGGAATGTTAGCGAGTTGGAGGAACGAGCTGGCGATTAGAGGTATGCCGAAGGACGTAAGAGAAGACCTTCGGGAGTGGGAAGAAGTCCTATCCAAGTTCACGAACCATAGACTGCTTCCCAAGAAGGGAGTTGAGAACATAGGTTGGATAGGCAATGCGTCGACAGGTTTTGGAATCGGAGTGATCGTTGGAAAGAGTTGGACGCAGTTGAAACTCAAAGACGGCTGGAATGAGAGAGACGAGAGAGGGGTGAAACGCGGCATTGCTTGGCTAGAAACAGTCGCGGTAAGGATGGGCCTCGAAATGATCCAAAACACAGTTGAAACAAAGGGGCGAAGGTTTTTCCTGACGGACAACACCGGAACGGAAGCCGCTATTCGGAACCAAAAATCCAGGGACAGGTCAGTAAACGACGAATGGAAGTTACTTCAGAAAGAACTCGCTTACCTCGATTGTGAACTGGAAGAAAGATACGTAAGAACTGGGGACAACAACGCCGACATTCTATCAAGAGGAGACAGAGGAACAAAAAAGTTGAAGTACTACTCAAGACCACAGGTCCCGAAACATCTAACAACAACGCAGCCACAGATACGGTACTGGTATCGTATTGGCGATACCAGCACCGTATCCTTTTATAAGGTACCTTCAGATCCGGTACTGCGTACCGTACCTCAAACCAAATACGATACATGATATCGTATCGGGGCGGCGGGCACGCCTTATAGCCTTCAAGCCAGTATCGTATTCAGTGTAGTCACCAAATACGGTACTATACCGGTATTGGCTCCAAACAAGGCGGTACAATACGGTACCGTACCGCCTTGATAAACCAAGATACGGGTACTATATTGTACCTGATTCAGCTACTAGTATTTGGGATACCGTGAAAGTACCTTTGACTCACAGATGACAAAGTTACACAAATTTGGTTGTCATTAGGGAGCAGGAGCATAAGGAAAAAAACATACGGGCATAGAATATAAGAGGCATACAGGGCATAGCATAATAAAAAGAAAGTATACACAAGGAAAACAACAAAAAGGAAATAGAAAACAAAATTGATGTCAAACAGCTGAATTCCCTTCCCGCCTCCTACGAGAGTTCTCATCGTTTGAGATACACTGTTGCATGACCGTTTGTGCATGTTTAAACTGGCCCTTCATTTGCACACCTTCCACCGACCACATACGCCCAGAGACCAGCCGTTCTATTGGTCAAGGTTTGAGAGAGCTTCGGTCGGTGGTGCACACATCGGCAGCTGATGAGAAAGTTCTCTCAACAGGGCATGATGTGGCACTTATTGCAAGGTAATCCCGTGCGAGGTGGGCCAAGATTGGATATTTACCTTCATTGACCTTCAGAATAAAAAGATAAAACGATGCACAAAGGATAAGTTAGCCACAGATAGGTCGGAATGAGAACAAAAGAGATCCCACCTTCCACCATTCCAAAGCTAAGTGAGGATTCATTTCCACCTCTGAAGAAGGCTCTTCAGCCATTTCCAGGTAAGATCGTAGTTCATTGGCTGTGTTTCGACGATTGAGTTCTTTATGTCAACGAAAATCCTCATCTTCGGCTGCTAAGCTGACCCCGCGTGGACCTTTGGCAGTTGAAGAAGTGGGTGTAGACGGGCCTTGGGCCTCAATGTTGCTCTTCTTGTCGTTGTAAGCGGTCTCTATCAACTCTTTGGCCCTGTAAGCTTCATTCGAGCTTGATCCAAATGCATAATCAAAGTAGTCCAATCGAAGGCTCGGATTCATGATCGTGGCAAGCATTAAGGTGTCTGAGCTAAGCGCCTCCTTGAGATAGGCCTCCACGCGCACGAGCATTGCGTGATACATGGGGAAAAGGGGTTCTGATCGTGATGCAGTTGCGTCGATTCGCTTTTGAAGGCTCTTCTTGAGCTTGACATACTCACGTATGAGGACAGAGCCCATTGGTCCATCTTGTTCGAAGAACTTGGTCAACGTCTCAAACTCCTACATTTGATTGAATGTTATCAGTATTGGTGAAATGTTAATGATCAAAAAACATCAATGACCTACCTTCAGAACAGAGATGATCTCTCGCACTTGTCGCCATTCATCAGGTGTAATCATCACCTTGTTGAAAATCCCTCGCGGGCGATGGACATCGGGCGCTAAAGGAGTTTCGCCGGCGCGGCTTGGACCGGCCCTGCGAGGTGGGTCCATCTGATCTTCTTTAAGCATTTGATCGATGACCTATCAAATATACCAGCTGTTCAATAACGAAAGATAAGGAAGAGAAGATTGATATGTCACTTACCTCGTGTGCATTGTAAAGCCGTTGCCAACATTGCAGCTTGATGTTCCAGCGTATCCCATACCCTGGGATTGGTCGTGGGAGTTGCTCGGAAAGCAAGGCTTTGGAAACGGCATCAAACAGGGAGCACATCACAGCTGATCCTCCAATCTTGCGACCAATTACATCAAGCTGAAATAAATTGAAAACAGTCAGATAAAAGTAATATATCAGTATAGGAAATAAGAATAAGCAACACACCTTTGACATAAGCGTGTGGACTGCATTGGACTCGTTGCGGTTGGTTGCTGGAGTAATTGCATCATCGGCAGGGAGAGGAGGTGGAAGATGAGGACCGTCTATTACACCATACCAATCTACGCTCTCTTCAGATGCCTTCAACTCTGTGTCATCTACTTCAGCGTCATTGTCTGTATCCAAAGCAGCTTCTTCGTCTTGATTTTTGTCTTCTTCAGGAATCGAGTGTAGGGTGGTGGTTGGCACTGGGAAATCACCCAGCATGGTAGATTTGACTAGAGCAGGTGGTGGCGCTTGTAATCCGAGAGCCTGAAGTCCGGCATTGACGATGAGTGCGAGCTTGTGACATACACAACGGACACGGTGCTTCTCGTGGTTCCATTTAAAGTCTTCGCCTCGATCGTCGCTGTACTTCTTAAGACGAACTTTCATTGCTTCGGCGAGAGTATTATTGTTACTTCCTGAATCATGAGTCTGCTCCAACATGTAGATAAGGGGATAAGAATTAGCTTTATGGATGTTGAAGAATCATTTGAAATAGATCAAAAAAGCAAAAAAGAACTTATCTTATTGTGAATCCCATGCTTGGTCAGGAGATTTATCAAAGGCTCAGCAAGCCACTCCCCTTTGTGATGCCAAGCGATCAGCTTGAGGGCCAGGTGACGGGTCACAAACTTCCAGTCTTTAGTAACAAATGTCAGTGCCGCTCCAAGGAATCCGTACCGGTTTCCCTTGGTCGTCCACGCATCGTGGATAAGGCCAAAGGAGCTATTAAGGTTCTGCAAAGTATCGGAAAAAAGAATAAGTAACGTTGTCATAAGAAAAGATGTAACAAGGAAAATAGAAATAGGAAATGTGACTTTACCTTGAGTTCATCAAAGACAGAAGATCGCATATCCATGTATGCCTCATGAGCAAACTTAGCAACCCACGTTCTTCCATAGAGTTGAGCATGTGGGTTAGCGAACCTGAAAGCTGCACGTAAATATTGATCTTGCATTCTAAGCCACGGTTGAGCTGTCCGGATCACCCACATCCCCATCAACTGATTAAGAGTCTTGTTATCGAATTTTGGAACCTTTTGTGCAAAATTCAAGATTGAGTTTTGACCGTCCTCGGTTGGATTAGTTGGTTGGTTCTTCTTTTCATATGCTGTGAGTGGCAGTATACATCCTTGATCAATTGCGACGTCCCTCTTCTTGCAGCCAGGCCTTCCAGACTTCCCGGGTTGCATAGATCCGTCTCGATGGGTCCAAAGGTTTGAAGTGGAACCTCCAGCACTGCTGACATCCTTTCGGCAATATTTACAACAGCGGTGAGTTCCTTCGAGGTTGAGCGCCCCGAAATAATCTTTGATCGGATCAAAGATGACTTCAACTTTCTTGGATTTCTTCTTAGCAACCTTTTCATTCTCTTCTTCTGAATCTTGTATTAAATCAACCTCCAGTTCCAATCCTACTTGGCCAGATGAAGATTGTTTGGGGTTGGTTTGCGAAGGAAGATCTTGTGCTGGTTGTTGTGCTGCCTTAGATCGCTTTCGTGGTTTCTTGGTGGGGTTTTGAGAGCTTTTGCGGCGTTGCTTACTAGTAGTAGTGTGAGTTGATTGATCAGAAGATTCGTCGTCTGATGGGATGATGACGCTTTGCTTGCGCTTGGTAGAAGTCTGAGCAGATGCATCAGATTCTGAATCCTCGTGCTGACGTTTAATGGAACGGCGTGAGTCGGTTGGCGGTACCATCATGTGGGATTGTTTCCTAGCAGGTGAAGGTCGGTCACTGCGTCGGCGGGAGTCGGTTGCAATAGACGAAGAAGACATATTGGTAACTGAGAGCAATATAGCTTTAGGACGGGTGATACTAAAAGAATTAAAAATCTGATGAAAGATATGATCTGAATGAAACGTCGGTTGATGGAATTAATAGAATAGAATTATTAGAGGAAGGATTTGATAATCGAAAAGGTGGGATCAGAATGAAGAAATTAGTAAATTATGAGTCAGATGTTAAAACGGGTAAGGGATTGATAAGAGTGGATATAAAGAAAATGAGTGAGTGAACTTGGGGACAAACGGGTCGATGTAGGCGAGGGTGAAGCCTGGTGATGTAGCCATTCCTCTGGCTCAGCTAAATCATGAACTGGTTCCATTGGTCTCGTCGCAAGCGTCCCCCTAGATGGATTGATGAAGGGGTCAATGTTGATGAGACGCACGTGACTAGAAAACTAGGAAATACTTACCAGATTGGGGAAGATACCGAGCCCATGGGTCGAGATACTGGACCAATCGGTGAAGGTAGTGACACAATATGTGGAACATGTGTGGAGGAGTACATGATCGAGATACAAAGGGATACTGTACCCGAAACCGGGGTACGGTACTATATCGTATCCAGAATCATAGGGGCAATTTGGATACGGTACTAAACCGTACCCGCTGACCCGATACCCTGAAACTGTGATATCTGATATCATACCGTGGGGTCCGGTACGATACGCAGTACCGTACCTTAAAAAAAAACCTGTTTTTTGACCCCTGAGTACCGTACTTGACCCCAAATACGGTACTACCGGATACAATACCGCCGACCACGGATACGGTACGGTACGATAACGGTACTAGTATAGTATCTGTGGCTGCGTTGCTAACAAGGTACATTGAATATGAGTCAGAAGAAGAATACGAAAAAAGAACGCGCAACCTTTGAGAGCGTAACAAGAAATGAAGGCCGTGAGGACGAGGACAGATGGCGCAAACCCGTGTCAGAACATCTAGTGAAGGGAGCATGGACCGACAGCACAAAGAGAAGTTACGGCAGCGCCGTACAAAAATTTAAAAGTTATATAGAAAGCACGGGAAGGGTTTTTAACGTCGAGGAGCCGATAAACGAGAAAGACGTGTATGGTTTTGTAGTATGGGCCGGCCCGTCAGAGGTAGAGAAGTCATCAGGACCAGCAAAAGAAATCCAAGCAAAGACAGTAGAAAAGTATCTAGCAGGAATAAAGGCCTGGCAGGTCGCAAAGCACTTGAAGCAACTTGTCCTTGACAAGCAGACAATCGATTGGTTGTTAAAATCGACGGCAAGGAGCGAGGAACGTAAGAAACCATTAGGAGAACGGAAAGAGCAGAAGGAGAAGAAACCAATAAGAGTTCAAAAATTATTCGAAATGATCGCAGACCTGAACAACAAGTCCAAGGCACACGACCTCGCCATAACCATAGCCCTTTGCGCCTTTTGGGGAATGGCACGACTGGGCGAGCTTGTGAGAGAAACAGTTTTAGAAGGCGCAATCAAATTGGAAGACCTGTCTTTTAAGGATTCGAGAAACGGAAAGGTGGCAATCTTAAGATTATGGAAAGCTAAAACAGCAAAACCGGGCGAACCGCAGTTCATAAAGTAAGTGTAGTTCCGACCAAACAGAGAAACACAGATGATCCTTACCTAACCACCGAGCAATCTCCTTTTCCTTTTGTCGTTCGGAATAGGATGACTGAGCAAAATTCAGTGTTAGATCCAGTGGGAGCACTGACAAGATTAGTGTTCGCGGAGCATAAAGGAAGCGACGGGAAAGCCATCCTCTTCTCATACTTAGTAGACGGGGAACGACAAACTCTATCAAGGTTAAGATTCACAAAGATGATGGAAAACGTGTGGGGAAAGCACGGTGTACAAAGCGGCGATTGGTCGGGACACTCCTTTCGAGTTGGCGGAGCATCTTTGAGATTCAATTTGGGCTGGGAGAAAGAGCGGATCATGGAGATTGGAAGGTGGAAGTCGAAAGCGGTCGATATCTACCTAAAAGAGTTCAAGGAAAAAGAAAAAGAAGAAACAAAAGAGTTTCTATGGTTAATTGATCGGAGAAACAAATGAAGATCCACTGTAGAAGAAAAAGTTTTGCCCTGCATGGAATCTTAGAAATTGCAGGAGGTAGTTTGAACAAGGTTTAAGGTTTGAAACATGCAATACAGACGAGCCCCAATAGGAAATTACGACTCAACTAGTCAGGCTCGCATAGAGTTTGATGGGATGCTCAACGAGTTGAGACTCGATACGAGCCCAACTATGCGGGATGCTGAGCACCGGACCACCAAACTCTAATTCTCCCCCCACACTACCCGGCGAGCCACAAACAGAACGCGTCTCGTCAAATCGGTAAGTTTTAACCGTGACGAAAACGAGCGCGCACCCGGGACCGGGCTCCCCCAAACAACCCCTTCCTCAGCATATGTACACATATGCCTAGGTAGGAGTAGTGTCACGTGAGGTATAGAAACACAATAATCTCACATTGGAAGAGATTTGTAGAATGGACTTCTAGTATAGCAAGAGACTACAATGTCATTTATCAACACGCCCCTGGGGAATGTCCAGAAGAATCTGCAATGCAGGCTGCTGCTCAACTTGTTTCTGAGCAACAGAAGACTGATGAATTGCTTTCCAACATTACAGAGGATGTCGAGGAAGCAATACTGTCTAATTCAGCAATGTCACTTTTTAATCTGCTCAACCCAGTCAATGGATCTAGTAACAAGCAACATCCAGCCCGATTGTTTGAAACTCAGGCCAATGATCAACCAACAAAATCTTTGGTCTTTAATGATCAACACGGCGCTCACCTTTCTAACACCTGTTTAATCGACATCCGAGCTACCAACGATAGTCAAGTCAAAAAACATCGAGGTAATGAGCGCGCTAGAGTTGATGTTGACCAGTTAAGAAAGACTCCAGGTGGAAAAATGAATCCGAGCGAATGCAGTAAGTTAGTAGCTGTCGTCATGAAAAGCACAGAGGTTACACCTACTGGTGTTTCACGAATCCACCGATGGAATATTGCTGTGAAGCTGGATTTATTTCAGCACATACAAAATACTTCAACTCGCCTGGACTTACCAACTAATGCCATCATCACGGGAGGGGGAATCAGTCAAAATAACCCACTCGAGCATGGCAAGTTTGTCGTCATCATCAAAAATAGTGTAAGTACATATCGTTCATCTGTTCAAACAGTTTACTCAAGATATTCATTAGCAAATGTCTTTATCAGAGACTGTACCTTGGGAAGACTCTAAGTGTCTATATCTATAAAAACAAGAGGCACGCTTGGATCAAGACTGCTAAATCTCGAGACGAACTTTCATATCTCTCGGTCCAACTTTTTAACTACAACCCATCTTACCCAGTTGTCACACCTGCCGATCACCTGTCTCCAGACGAGTGCACCTTCGCTCGCATCGAATCTACTCACATTTTATATGTATTCCCTCCGTCTCAAGGTTTGGCATTCTCTCGCATGCCAGATGGAGGATCTTACTCGATACCAGCTGTTTTCAGCCGTTTGGTCCAATCATTCAACACCCCATCCTTTATCAGAGCTTTTGAAAAGCAGCTCAAAGCATCAACAACCAATCAAGTCGATCAGGACCAAGACTGATGCTCTTTGAGTATCTCCAAATTTTGCAATTTTTTCTACGGTTCTATTTGAGTTTATCCTTTCCATTACTTCACTCATTTCAAGCTCTAAATTACACTTGTTATACTTTTCTAGCGCTACTTGTTTTTTCTTCATGTCTAGCCAGGTCTAGCCTTTTTGAAATCATGTTACTCTGTCCTTGTTCGTTCAGAAATTCATTCATTTTGATTGTTGAGCCCTAAAACAACATCGTCTGACCCTGTGCTGTTAACAACCAGTAAAACTGGTTTTTTTGGTTTTTTTTAAAAAAAAATAAAAAAAAAGAGGTTAGTGACGAAAAAGGTCGGAATCTGACTTTTTTGAAAAAATCTATAGTGGCTAGTGTCTAAAACCGTGAAATCGGGTATTTTGACCAAAAACCTTATCAATGTCACAATTTTGATCCAAATTGGAATCCGAGCACAGATTCGGAATCCTCCCATTGGAAGCTATCAGAAATTGTTTTCGCCGAGTCAATTTGAGGGCTTACAAATTTTCATGATTTTTACAACATAGTAGTATTATTTCATAGAATGTAATTTACGAGCAAAAAATTCAAAACAGACAATTTCTGGTGCTTTTGTACCTTCTCCATCAGTGAGACTAAAAGTCGAAGTGATAAGTTAATAATTGAAAAAGACATAAAAAAAAAGAAGAAAAAATATCAAAGAAGGTTGGCATCGGTTGCAGAGTTGCGAGCAACGGTTCTGTGAGAAGTATATAACTTGACGTTTGGGTTTGGACCGGGGTGTGCTTTCATAGTGTGCCTATGAGAAATGAGATTGATGTAAGTAAATGAAAAACTGCAGATGAGGACAAAATCAAGTTTGCTTACAAGAGATCCATCATTGCTGCATCGATTTTGCGAAAAAAACGTCGGATCGTTACCAGAGGGCATGTTTGTCTGATTGTTTCAAACTTGTCCTTTGCTTGTTGAAGATCAGCACATTCAAAGCTATGTTCTCGGTAGCCTGAAGCGAAATCGATTTATATTGGCCAGTGTTCAAAGAGATGATAACATAGCAAAAAGAGTAGACTTACGTGGTTTTATGTAACACCAAAGAAGCTCGATTGGGTTCAATTCACAATGGAATTTGGGAAGGAATTTGCAGATATGGCCAGCTTCCTCGATTACCTTCTGAAGCAACGGTTTTTCGTTTTCGAAGTCAGACTGTGTTGTTAATACTTTGTATGCACAACAGTCTGGAACATCAATTTCAGGTAAAGCTTCACTTGGTCGTGCTTGATCTTGCTCAAGAGGTATTTTGGCGTTTCTAAGTAGGCGCTCTGCTCGAGCGATCTTGTCCTTGGCACGTCCGGTCTTCTTGCAGTCCTTACACATTGAAACCATCTCTTTTTCACCCCTTGATGCACGTACTTTATTGTGATGATCCCACAAGCCACGCTCGATGAGAATCTGCCTGACTCCTTTTGGCTTTCCCGCAAGATCTTCTTTTTCGATAACTTTTCCTTCTTTGGACTTCTTGACCGGAGTTGTATCTACATAATTGGATGGGTAGTTCATTGTTTGAACCTTTCCACGAAGTTCAAGCGGAATATTTGGATCATCAGACGGTATGATGGTGTTGCGTAGTTGTGGCTTCGAACCCCCAGATTTAAAATTCATCTTTGAGAATCGAAGTGCGTTGGGAGCAAAAGACTCATGTGCTGCTGAGCAATCAAAGATGAAGCAGGCTTGAGAATTGGGGTGATTGGTATTAAAAATTGGAATCGCTCTAGTAATGACCTGGTTGATGAGTTGATTACAATCCCACCACGCATCACCCTTTGCGCCGGGATAGATGGTGACTGCAGCATCCTTGAAAGGAAGAGTTGAATTTGAATTGGTGGGTAGAGTGAGTCGGCCAGTTGGAAGACAGACAAAGTCGGATATATGAATCAACTTCCCAACACTTTTTGTGCGAAGTGCACAGTCCTTATCAGACATCCACGCTGATCGAGGTCGTTCATTAGTATGGATTGTTGATTCATCATGATATATACGAATAATGTCACGAGTCCCGTCATCAAGTTCTGCATAAACTTTCTGATCCATCATCTTGCCAGTGTAAGAATGCTCCCGTTTATGTAATTCAATAAGCTCGTTGATAAACTTTTCTCGATAGATTACAACATCTGCTCGCTCATGTCCATCATAATAAAGACACCTCTTGTACTCTGAAACATGTAATCCGATTCGATGCATCCATTTATTGGCTGTTGGGATCGAGATGGTCTTTTGATAATTTTTGTAGTTTGGAAGAATCTCGGTGTTCACATAGTGAGCAAGTTTTGTTGGTGTAACCTAAACAAGAAGAAAGGTTGAAGAAAAAAACAATTTAGTCAATAATCACAATCAAAGTTTTTTTTACGATTAAAAAATTTACAGGTCCAACTGGCTGATCACTAATCCAATCAGTGATTGATTTAAGCACGTTGATATCATCCAGAATTGAATGATGTGGAGATGCAAATCCTTGATGATTGATTGGGAGATGACGGTGGGAAATGACATGAGTTGCATTGGCTCGAATCCTAGCGGCAAGGCGTATCACACTCCCATCTTTTGGTGGGTCTTCTTGTCGAAGCCGGTACAATTCGGCTGTTTCAAAAGACGCTTTCATGGCACAACTATTTGGACTGGTCAGGTTGAGCTTGTAGCAACGATTGTTGAACTCGCGTATGAGCCCCAGTTGATCAAAATCTTTTATGGCAAGTTGGCTCGAAGTTCTGTGGCCCTTAGAATATTTTGAAGCATCTGCAAGAGCATCATGAAGTATCTTATATTCTTGTTCAATGCATTCAATTTGAAAAGGTGTCTTGACACGAGTTGAATCATTATATTGAGTTTCTGAATCTAAAATCATATCATGATCCGAGTGAGCATTGGTTTCTGGATGCGACTGAGCATTCAAATCTTCATCTAAATCTGATTTCCAATCTGAATCAATGTCTGAATACACATCTGATCTCAAATCTGAATCCAAAGATGATTTTGAAGCTGAATATTTGTGACTGGACATGTTATCGGTTAGAGAAGATAAGTCTGATTCAGGCTCGGAGAGGCACGACAAGCTTGAATCATCGGGGGCTGGATCCAGGTTGCTAATTCGATGAGATCTAGGCTTGACTTGCTTGGGGTTCAGATTTTTTGTAGAACATTTGGATGCTTGCCAACGACGACGCTGACCTTGACGGGCTTTATTTAATTTCATTGAAAAAGTGAAGAAAGAACTTCTATTTAAGCTAAGAGACAGGATCTAAGAAAGGATTGATCCACCACTATTGAGGTGATCTCAATCCTACATGTAGTATGAAATTCAAACACATGTAATTTATTTTTTTTATTTTTTTGCCCGGCCCGACATTTCACGGTTTTAGACACTAGCCACTATACCACGAAAAGGTCGGAATCTACGTCACTAACCTCCATAGGCGCTTTCCAGGGTCCTAGGTGGGGACCGGTCAAAGTACGTGTGTTTGTCACACGTGCTTCAACCGGTGTCAGGCAAGGTCCAGTCACTCTTCTCAAAAAATTCGTGACTGGAACCGCTTGACAAGCGTCATCGCATCGGTATTCACTGGGAGGAAGACCGAGTCACTCGGGTCTGAGTGTGCACCGTGTGACTCATGGTCTCGGAGTGCACCCATAGAAATCGAGTGACAATTTGTCACACGCTCGACGTGTGACTTTAAGTCACGCTCAGCGACCTCGAGCCCCTGGTTTTGTCATCTCGGACTAAACCAGTCTATATACATAATGTATGGTACACTTGAGTCTTGATACGTAAGATTTCCTTTGAATCTAAGCTGACTATGTGTAGGTCTCATACATGTGTATGTAAGTACCAAAATGATCTTAAGGTACAGGATATCTCTTCTGGGTCGCACCCGCATCGGATACAGAAGTCCAAAATCGGTTAAGCACGGTCCAAACTGACAGGCGACTGTTGAATCACGTCCAAAACCAGATTTAAGACAATTTAAGACACTTGAATGTGCTTAATTTGACTTTGGGTGTGACTTAACAGCATCTTTCCACCATTTAATCTTTGAAACAGCTGTATGTACATATCGCTATGAAACAGCTTGAGCAGAAACAGAGAAATAGGTTTCTCATTGAACTGCAGTTTAACCTAAACTATATTGTAAACTGCAGTCTCGCTTGAACAGCTGTTTGGCTATTCCTCAGATCTAACACCACTGATCGCCGAGAGACCTCCGATACTTTACCCTCTCAACCATGGATCGTCCATGTGACTGTCACAAATGCTGGACAAAACATGGACCATCCGGACCAACAGTATCTTCCTTAACGATAAGAAGGCATCATCAAAAGAACGGTCCACGTCCATCTGCCTCACAAACTCAACCAGCACCTCATTCACCGCAAGCTTTCAACAAACCTTCGAAGCTACCTACCCCTGCAGCACCCGCCTCACAGCCTCCACCAGTTCATTCAGATAAAATAGTGTCCTCAGCTCATGACGAGATCTTGAAAATCAGTTTATCAAACCTCAAAATCACGCCGGATCCGCACTCACTTGGAGATAGAAGTACCATCTCAAAGGATAAAGGTGTACGGCCACCTGGTAAGCAAGAGTATCATTTTCCATCCAACTTGGCAAGAATCGAACTTGATAAGAATATAACTCACTAAATTTTTCACACCTTTCTTAGGGCCAAGTGATGGGAGCTGGCTTTTTCTTTGTGTAGCACTCGTCACTTACCTTCATGTAGTTGCTGGAGTCAGCATCAGAGCTGTCAATACTACGCTCCGAACACTACGACTTGCATTCAGTCAATTAACTAAAGGATTGAATATCCACGAAGAAGATCAGAAACTCATCAAGAACTTTCCGTTAGACATAAGTACAGCAATGAGGTGGTTAGATATTGAAGCATCCCTCGAACGCAGCATTTGCTGTCCAAAGTGCTTCAAGCGATACCGATATCCTCCTGCAGATGAACCACCAATTCCTCAATGTTGTACTCGAAAAGAAACCGGCCGTAGTAGGCCTTGTGATGAGCCTCTTTTCCAACACACCAATGTACCTTTCCGCTTTTACTCAACCCAACCATTCATTCCTTGGCTCACACAATTTCTTAAACGTCGTGAGATTGAATATCACCTGGACAACTCTGTTCTTATACACCAACAACCTCCTCGCACACCAGCTACGGATATCTGGGATGGTGCAATGTGGCGAAGTTTTCGAGATCCAAAATCGGATATACCATTTACTCAAACTCCCGGTAATCTTTCTTTTGGGATCTATGTAGATTGGTTCAACCCTTTTGGAAACAAAATTGCTGGGAAGAAATCATCGGTTGGTGCAATCATTCTCTTTTGTATCTCGCTTCCACCGGAACTCCGGTACAAACTTGAAAATATATGCGTTGTTGGAATCACCCCGGGACCGAACGAGCCAACAGTCCTCCAGATGAACAATTTAATTGATGATCTTGTAGCCGAACTCAAGCACCTGTGGTCAGATGGTATCAGCATTCCGACTTCTTCGCATCCACAAGGTCGATTAATACGAGTTGCACTTATTGTAGCAGTTTGTGATCTACCAGCTGTACGAAAATTGATTGGCTATGCATCTCATAGTGCTCGGTTTTTCTGTTCATTTTGTTATCTCACACAAGACTCGAATCACTCCCTGGATTATCGAAGTTGGACACTACGATCTCATGCTGATCATACTCGACAAGCCAAGGCGTGGAGAGACGCAAAAACCCTCAAGGCTCGAGACCAGATCTTTGACACATGCGGAGTTCGATGGTTGTGTTTAAATGAACTGGAGTATTGGGATCCTACAAAGATGGTTGTTGTTGATACCATGCACTGCATCAGTGGGATGCTTGAATATCACTTCAGGCGAGTTTGGAATCTTGATGACTTAGGAAAAGACCTCGAAAAGAAGAAAGAATCGAAAACATCAACCCTGCTACAAGAAGCAATTGCAACCGATTTAGACAGCAACATGAGCGATGATTGGGAACCTCTTCAGCTTGATCTCGACCATGCAATGGGTTCCAATATCACTTCAACTTCGAATCTCAATCCCACATCTTTCAATCAGCATAACCGGGACTTGACACTCAAACATTGTACTTTGACATCATTGGAAGAAGGGCTTGATGAGGACGAAAATGATGGTCTCTATGACGATGATGGAAACGAGGTCTTTCTTGAGATCAACTCTTCATCAGTTGCTGAAAAAATTGAACTGCTTGGTACAGAATGCCTCAAGAAGATACGATCAACAATCTTGACTACATCCATTCCCTCATGGATGTACCCACCGCCTGCCAACCTCGGAAGTGCTTCACACGGGAAACTACAATCAGCTGATTGGATTATTTTGGTCACAATTCATTTACCTGTGGCGATGTTTGAATTACTGCATTCCTCAAAGATCAATCCTGGTGTTGTCTCAAATGTCCTTCATCTCTGTAGCTTGACTGAGATCGTAATGAGCTATCATACAAGTGACCAGAACATTCAGAATTACTTCGGTCATTTAGTAGCTTATTGATCTAGTTTGCGGTCGCTTTGCCCCGATTTGAAACCCACTCCCAATCAGCATATGGCATTTCATGTCCCATTTCAATTTTACAACTATGGTCCATCGGCATACTTAGCCGCGTGGCAGTTCGAACAATACAACGGGATCTTACAAAAGATTCCAAACAATTGTAAAATATGTAAGTCTTCACTTGTTCACATTCAATCATGCATCAACAAATCGCATCTGAAATTTGATCTCCATCTGTTAATTTGCTGAAGGGGAACTTGATTTAACAATGCTTCGACAACTCTGCCGAGCTTCCAATCTGGCTATTGCCTTGGACTCTCCGGATTTCCCAGAATGCGCTAAGGAAGTAAGCGAACTCCTGAAGGGTGGAAAAAAATTGTCATCAAAGATTGGTGAGATTCCAGTTGACACCGATCAAGATACATCATCTTCAAACCTCCAGCATATGCCAGATGTGCTCTGCTCGTTCACCTATGCGGCATTACTTGAAAGACTTGGGAAATCAGACCGATCAAATACACATCAACTTACTTCATTCACATCCAGTAACAACCTCATATCATCAAGAGTGAAGTTTCTTAAACGGTTCAGCTGGAATGGACTTACAATCACACCTTACAACATTAACTCTAGAAATTGTATCATAGAATATACTCCGGTGGGGTTTTCCAACAGAGAAGCAAGCTCACAGATGGGAAAGATTTTGAAGATATTCAATCATGTTCAAAAAAGTGCAGTCACCGGCCAAGATATTCAGACCACGTTCATCTCAGTCCTTCGATTTCAACCCTTAGGTGAAAGTGATCAACGTCATAATCCATTCAAGGAATGGCCTAACTTGAAGTACAATTTATTTTATACACACCCATCAAACGATCGAATCCAAAAAGAACTCGGCTCGAATCAAAATATGATACCTGAAGTTATAAGTCTTGATCAGGTTGTCTACCCCACCGCCTCTTACACTTACCCCTTTGGGACCTTTGGAATTCAACCCTCTACAATTGCAATCAAATCGCTTTCGCGAGGTCGTCATACCTGGTATTAGACATGTCTTATTCCGTTTTTTTTTTGTTTTTTTTCCCTACAATTTGATTAGACTACGCTTTCCTACAATTCAATTACATACAATTTCCTACAATCCTACTGCGCTTTTGAGTCAACTTTTCATTTTTGTCAACCAATCGAGAACTTATTTTTCTACTCTTTGAAGTCAACATGTCATGTTCTATCACCCAATTGAGAATTTTTTTCCTTCTCTAGGCACTTGTTTCCCATCCAACTCAACCATATTTGGTAACCTTCTATCCCAGTTCAACATCACCTTGCAATATAAAACGAGCTCCTTTCATCCCTCACTTTTACTCGCCGCTCTATTCAATCAAACTTATCGCTTTTCTACAACACTACAAACTTTGAATCTTTACATACTAGCTACTACCTATCTAAATCATCAGATCTTTCACACAATCTTTTCATCGATACTTTAATCTCAATGGCCTATCCAGCACAGAACACCTCATCTACCCCTCAAAGACCTCCACCCAACACTCAGTCCCCTCAGTCAGCCCAATCAGATCCCTATGGCGATATGCGACAACTTCAAGCTCGATATGCAAGCTTGAATCTTGATAACACCCCAGCTAGCACCCCAAGCCCACCAAAACAAAAGGTGCAAAAACCTCGATCTACACCAAAGAAGGGACCACGCGATATGTATGAGGCGATTGATTTGTCAAAGATACAACTTGTGCTTTTGGTAAGGTCTCCATTCAAACTATCACCATCAAACTCCAGGCTGACCGTGTTTTATCTTGAATTAGAAATCCTGTTGGACCTTGACGATGGTACTAATGGGACGAGCCACCGCAAAGTTGCCATTTCCTCCACCTCCTGATCAGTTCTACAATCGCTCAATACAGCAATTCATCTCTTCCGAACAAGACCCTGATGCCCCTGATGCACCAAGCATTCCACGACATGAGGTACATGGAGTCAACAACCACGCTGGTCATTTGGACCATGACTATGTCGAGTACATAGTAGGGGCTATGCAAACTCACAACATCATCTTCTTCACTATGGATTGGGGTGCTCACATTGAAGACCAATTCAATCAACTTATGATAATGTTCTTTGTCAAGGTTTGGAAGTGGGGACTGAATTTGAATCGATTCTTACCAGCTGCAAAACAGGAAGCCATACGTATCAATATGGACGACCGAATTTTAGCAGCAATCTATGTCAGACATTACAAGTACCTTAAAACTCAATACAAGAAGCTAATGACTAACGGCAATGCGCTACTTGAGGAACAAGCGAGAAACTGGATCGGTGTGGCTCTGCGACGCGTGTGTATTCCTTATATGGTTTTGTTTTTTTGCATCACTTCTTTTCTGATAGCCAGTCTAAACATGTGCCCAAATGTTTTCCAGAAAACTGAAGAACGTCAAAAATATCTTATGGCCATGGGAGTCGTACCCTGCTACGTTGACGCTTTCAAAAACCGATACGTCAACTCAGACGACAAAGTCAAACCCAATCCAACCACCCCAGACTCTGAAATCGGATACAGCAAGGTACCAATCTGGCAATCTGAAATAGCGACTCAATTCATCGACTTCGTAGAAAAGCGTCGAAGGGCCTCTCTTCCTCGTATTGCTGGACTGAGGGGGAAATCTGCACGCGGTAACAAACTTCGTCCACGTCAGCGCCGAGATCCGCCAGTTATCGATCATGATGCCTTGGCACCACCGGGCTTGCCAGAGGATTGGTACAGCCCTGCCTTCTTAGCCCAATTAACGTTTGAAGACATTCTCGATTTGAAGATGGCCCCACGAATGTTCCCAGACTCCGGAAATTTTCTCAGTATCATACCAACCACTTTAGATGTCACCCTGTATGACAAATCGGGCGAAGCATCTATGCCTCCTCATATTTCAAATATTCCACTTTCTCAAAGAGGTCCACCGATGAATACTTTCCCTGGCTCCCCCGAGTTTCAATTTATAAATCACCCTTTGTTCCTTTGACCAACGGAACCAACACCAGTCTCCGGACCTTCACCAGTCGCCGGACCTTCAGGAACCTCCAATCAAGATCCTGCCGATGAATCGGAGTTCATGGACCACGACCCCTTGTTTGATGGCTCAGACAGTGATTTGTAATATTTCATTTTGTATTCTATGTTTCCTTTTGCTTCTGCTGCTAGTCCTTTATGATTGGTTTCTAATACAAAAAAACTCGACTGTGTTGATAATCACATGGATCAATGAAAGTATTTCTTGGCAATTGTTCTCTTCAAAACATCCTCCTTTCTTTCTCTCCATTATCGATCTCTTCAAAAAACCTTAAACATCAAAAAAAAGCTACTTTTGTTACAAGACCGATTGATAAAATTAAGAAAAAAACGACAAAAAAATGTATTTTCTATCTCTGACTGTTGTTTCTCCTATGTTTGTGTCAATTGATTGATCTAGTTATGCTGTGTCCGAATCTTATGACCGTTGAGTACTCAAAATGGCGGCTGAGGTATATCCAAGAATAGTTCGTAGTACGTACTTCGGGCTGAGTCGAGAGAGGTCGAGAGCCAAACAGCTGTTCAAGCGAGACTGCAGTTTACAATATAGTTTAGGTTAAACTGCAGTTCGATGAGAAACCTATTTCTCTGTTTCTGCTCAAGCTGTTTCATAGCGATATGTACATACAGCTGTTTCAAAGATTAAATGGTGGAAAGATGCTGTTAAGTCACACCCAAAGTCAAATTAAGCACATTCAAGTGTCTTAAATTGTCTTAAATCTGGTTTTGGACGTGATTCAACAGTCGCCTGTCAGTTTGGACCGTGCTTAACCGATTTTGGACTTCTGTATCCGATGCGGGTGCGACCCAGAAGAGATATCCTGTGCCTTAAGATCATTTTGGTACTTACATACACATGTATGAGACCTACACATAGTCAGCTTAGATTCAAAGGAAATCTTACGTATCAAGACTCAAGTGTACCATACATTATGTATATAGACTGGTTTAGTCCGAGATGACAAAACCAGGGGCTCGAGGTCGCTGAGCGTGACTTAAAGTCACACGTCGAGCGTGTGACAAATTGTCACTCGATTTCTATGGGTGCACTCCGAGACCATGAGTCACACGGTGCACACGATCCACCCCATCTTCCTAACTTTTTTCATCTCGAATCGTCTTCGTTTTCTCAACTTTTCTTCACTTTCACTCTACTTTCTCCCTCTGTCGCGTGTCCAATGGACGAAGGAGCCCTCGATCCCGATATGCAGGACACCTCAGCTTTTCGGGACGACGTGTCGACATACGCCGACGCGACTGAGGCGATGGGCGAGTCAGACCTGACGGGTCCAATGACTGTAACCACGCCCAAATCGCGTCAAGCGAACTTGATCGCGCTCGATATGGTCACCATACCCCATCTCGCTCTAGCAGGACCTGCTTCGAGCACTCCAGCTTCGCTGGAGAGCTCGAGGAAGCGTCTTCGGCAACGAGCACCCTCTCCCAGCCCACTTGATGAGGCTGATGAACTCACGGGTACACCTCGATCCACCCGTATCTCAAAACTCTTCCCAGGATCATCCGGTGCTGCAACCAAGCCTCTCAATGTGCTGGTTCAGAAACTGCTTGAAGTGTTGAAAGCCACCCTGGTACCCAAATCCAAGACGGCCAAGTTGGTCAAGGTGGACATCGAATCGGCAGCCAATATCCTAGTGCTGGCCGGTTTGATCCAAGAACAAGCCTCAATCATCGAGTCGAGACGTGTGGTTTTCGAACCAGGTTGTCAAACGGCTCCCCCCCCTTCCTCATCCTCAGCTGCGGCAACCGCACAATTCGAGTTCCGAAATAACACGCTGGTCGACAAGGTTGAAGCTATGGCTGAACAACTGGCGAAGCTGGTTGCAGCAGCCGAATCGCCGCAAAGACCAGCCCAACCACAACCACAGCAGAAGGCTGCGAACTCATACGCTCTGGCCGCGTCCAAACACGCCCCAGGGGCCGGCACGAGGCCCCCACCCCAGCATCAAGGACCCCGGGTCAATCAAAAACAAACTCCCCGTCCCAAGGCAGAGCACTCGATCACGCTCAGCCAGAAGGACCCGGCTAATATTGCTGGAGCGGGACAAACTATCCCTGAACTCATCAAGAAGTTCAACAGTGCGCTCAAAGAGGGCAACATCAAGCTAACGTTGGACGATCAGTCCTTCATAACGGTTCAAAATATTCACCGACACCCATCAGGTGATCTTGTGATATACCTCGAATCGCAAAAAGAGGCTCAGGCTTTAAGAGGTCAAGAGGAATGCTGGCTTCCCAAAATTTCCCCCAACCTCTCCATAAAACAAGAAGTCCATGCCGTTATCGTACATGGCATTCCGACCACGTTCAACCCTACCAGACAGGAGGATGTTGAACTTCTCAAGATTTGCAATGGTGATCTCCTCGATGACGCCCTCTTTGTGAGGTGGTTAAAGAAAGATACGGCTGAGGACTCAGCTAAACGCCATTCCTCCCTGCTTATTGGCTTCAAGACGCTTAACCAAGCCACGCTAGCCGCGCGAACTAAGGTGTGGCACGGGAGAGGTAGACACCGCACAGAAATTAGTGGCCCACCACCGACACGTTGCTTCAACTGCCAAGGCGTGGGACACACTGCAGCAGCCTGTAAACTAGAACCTATGTGTCCATCATGTTCAGGTCCTCACCACGCGCACAACTGCCCTATCAAAGGCTCCACAGCTTTGAAATGCATAGCGTGCGCTCGAGGCAAACTCAAGCTTGATCCTAGCACCAATCTTCCCCGTCTCTTTAAAGAGAACCATGCCGATTTCTTACATCACCCCTTTGCCCCAACGTGCCCAGTAAGGATAGCAAGCCAACGGCCTCCTCACAACCCAAGTGATTCGCCATACATCATGGTAACCGACCAGCCCAACTCATCCTCTACCCAATGTTAGAGAAAGAGATAAGGGAAAAACTTAATATAAAACAAACAGCGGCAATTCTTCAATTGAACTGCTGGCACTCCAAACACGTCACACACTCACTATTTAATTCAGATCTCACTAATCTTTTCTCTATCTTATCAATTCAGGAACCTTATGTTAACCCAATCGACAACCTCCCTCTTAATATGCAAAATTGGTCTCTGGTCTGCCCGACGCCTCAGTCTCTCAAAGAGGAGGACAGACCCAGGGCATGCCTATATATCAGGCAGGACCTAAAGCCCATCATCAACCCAATTCACTTCCCATCACGCAACCTAGCCGCAAGCACCATCACCATAAACGTCTTCACCATATTACTAGCAAGCGTTTACAACCCCCAAAAGACTCTCTTAGGGTTTGAGGCATTCACCGAAATGCTTCAAAAATCCCCGCTCTCCACACAACTTCTTCCCACAATATGTACTACTGATGCAAATCTTCATTCACCCCTATGGAACCCAGCTCACAACAACACCGATGACAAAGAATTGGAGAGGCTGATCGAGATGCTGACAGATTGGGGCCTCAATCTGCGCTCTCCCAAAGGGATCCCCACCTTTGGAGTAAGATCACCCAACACGGAAGGTACCTCTATCGACCAGGTCTGGGTCAACGAGGATTTTGACGACACGTTGATCACATGTTTCATTGACAAAAAAGACATCCTAAACCATCACTCTGACCACCAAGCGATAGTCACCTGTTTCTCAACGAAGACGGGTGATGAAACGCTGGCCGCTCTCCAATCCTCTGCGAAGAGAAATTGGAACAAGGTCGAACGGGTCCCCCTCAAACGAGAGCTAACAAACACACTTCCCGCTCTCAAACCCCTTATGACACGCACAGATATTGAGGAGTTTGACGAAGATCTTCGCAAGGCGATTACCAACGCTCTAGACAATCACTCGCCCAAAAAGGCAGCTCATGGCAAGCATAAAGCTTGGTGGCGGCCTGAAGTACTCAACCCTCTTTGCAAAGAGGCGTCTAGACTACGCAGACTGGCCAAGAAGAACCGCGACCAAGAATCCGATCAAGCCTACAAGAATGCCCGCAACAAATTCAACCGAGCAGTCGATAAGGCAAAAAAAAACTCGTGGCGACATTTCCTTTCCACGGTCGACCACACAAACCTCTTCCAGGCGAAATGTATCGCGTCTGGAAGGAAACCCTCCTCCCTAGTCAGCACCATCATCACAGGTGACGGGAAGGTCTGCTCATCAAATCAAGAGAAGGCTGAAGCCCTATTCGACACCACCTGTGTAGCCACTGCACCATGCAGGCTCGACGACACAAACCACCTAACATTCCCTCTCACGGACACCGACAGACCATCAGCTGAAGTCACGAATCCTTTCTACGACTCTATCACTAAAGATTCTATTGGAGCAATCATCTCGGACAGTCCTCCCAAGAAGGCGCCTGGCGCCGATGGGATCCAGAACTGGGTATGGCAGATGATCTGGGACACAGTCAAATCCCACGTAACGTTTCTTTTCAAATGCATTTCTCTCACCGGATTCATCCCGCACGCTTGGAAGAAAGCGGTCACGGTGATGATTCCCAAACCGGGGAAGCCAGACCATACTCAAGCCTCTGCTTACAGACCCATCGCTCTACTATCAACGCTCAGCAAGATATTCGAGAAGCTCCTCACGGTCCACCTCTCAGGTCAAGCAGAGAGCCTCAAGATGTTACACGACGGTCACTACGGTGGTTGACCAGACAGATCAAGCCAGGAGGCGCTAGTCCACTTGGTAGCGTGGATCAGGCGTGAGTGGTCCAGAGGGAAAGTAGTTGGCGCTCTCTTCGCGGACGTCAAATCTGCCTTTCCCTCAGTCCACCACCCGAGGCTCCTAGACACGCTCGAGAGAAAAGGAGTACACACCCAGACTCTCAACATCATTCATGACTTTCTCACAGACCGAACCACCACACTCACGTTTAATGGCTTCGAATCAGAGGCATTTCCACTGGATCACGGACTACCACAAGGATCCCCTCTTTCCCCCCTTCTCTATTTACTCTATAACTCGTCCTTACTAGAGATCACTGACAACATACCATCTGCATCAGCTTTGGGATTCATCGACGACGTGGTTCTCTTATCCACGGCGAACGACACCAACCAGCTTCGATCACAGATGCAAACCCTCTCTTTCCGCCAACAACAGTGGGCCAAAAACCATGGGGCCATCTTTGACACCAAGAAGACGTTTTGGGTCCTTTTCAGTCTTCAGGACCACGAGATCATCCCGACAATCGACTTTGCGGACAGGAAACGCATTGAACCGGCCAGCTTTGCGAAGTGGCTTGGCGTCAAGGTGGACAACAAGCTCAGCTTCAAGCAACAACGACTAGATATCATAGCTAAAGGCCAACAGAGGGCGGGATTCTTAGCCGGTCTATCAAAGACAGGTTGGGGGATCCCTCCTAAACTCCTCAGGACGCTCATCACCACGACCATACATGCGGCCACCGATTACGGTGCTATGGCATGGCTCCTGATAGAACCACCGGTCTTCTTCATCCAGAATATGACAAAAATTGACAACACATGTGCACGAGCGGCTTTAGGAGCTTTGAGCACGACCCCAAACGCCTTTCTGCGACACGACCTCAACCTCACCCCACCCAAAGCACGACTCCAGAGCAAAGCGCTGAGCTTTATGGCACGCTCCTTAGCTAAGTCAAAAAATCACCCTTTCTTCCACATCATACAACAAGCGCAACACACAACCCCCAAAAGTCACAAAAATCCTTTTCACCTTTTCTTTCAGCACTCCCTCCACAAGTTTTTTGAGGAATTTGTAGTCCAGTTACCGGTGGATCCGGCTTCAACGCTAACACGTCCCTCCAACTACTCGACCGTTGTCCAAGAGAACAAGGCGATAGCGACTTTGAACGCCATTCGCCTAAAACCTGACCCCCACCACCTGCTCATCTTCACGGACGGATCGCGGATACCGAAGAAGACCACCGCTGCAGCGGCGTGGTGCGCCAACACCAAAGAATCCAAGACATCACATCTAGGCCCGGCACGTTCGCATGGAATATACCAAGCTGAGTACCGCGGAGTTCAGTTAGGGCTAAAAATGGCCCTTGAAAACGCTACACCTACCACACTAAGAACAACAATTGTTCTCGACAACCAGGGAGTGATAAAGGATCTGAAATCCAATTCCTCCTCGGTTTCCTCTTTAGATAACCGTCAAAAAACCTTCAAGATTCTACAATGCCTTCACCAAAGCTTCCCGCTTATGAAAGTCACGATACGATGGTGTCCTGGCCATAAGGGCATCCCAGGGAACGAAGAAGCTGATAAGCTAGCTAACGGCCTGGCAAAACAATCTCTTCCCAGCACCTTCACCGACACACCTAATACCGCCGCATTCCTTGCCGCCATCAAGGAGTGGAAAACAGAACAAACGGAGTCTTTTACAGCAGAAGACATCAAACGTTTGGGTCACAAACCACAACCAAAGAAACATCTTGATGGACTAACTCCGCTCCTCAAACACGAAATCGCAACCATCACACAACTTAGATCAGGTCATGTTCCGCTTAATGCTTATCTAAACCGCTTTAAACAACCAGTCGATCCTGTCTGTGACTGCCAGGCAGGCATCGAGACAGTTGACCACTTTCTTTTCATTTGTCAGACATACGAACGCCAACGAACGAAACTCGAATATGAATTACACGAACACAACACCCAAATGAACAAACGAATTTTATCAAACACCAAGAACTTCAAGACCATTGCCAGATTCTGCAACTCCACATGGAGGTTTGCAAATAGATGGATCTGGGCAAAAGTAGTAGACGAACCCCGTCCACAAAGACCACAACCACTTGAATAAAAACTGCATCCCACTCCCTACTTCACCGCCCTTTTCTCACATCTCATATCAAACATGTAACCTAGATGAAACAGCCAACAGCTACCTTTCCCCTGACACAGCCAGAGGGGTTTTACCGGTGCTGGACATATTACATAGTGTTTGATAGCCTAGCGGCTCCAAAAACACTTTAAGCAATAGGGGTTCTCAAAGTTGGCACCCCTGTCGACTCTATTCTACCTATGATAACAGTATCTATCGAAGACATGTAACCTGATCATAGATAGTTTTTCCTTCATCTCATTTCCCCTCGCTTCCACTTACACAACACACCACTTACATACACATGTTCTCACTATTATCTCGAGACTCTGTTTGAAGCTTCCAAATGGCCTCGACCCGGTACTGTTTACCAAGTCCCAGCGCGGTCACAAACCCGCGGTCCATGAGCTATAGAGGACCTCTCGTGACAAGTTTTTCGTTCGCACTTTCACCTCATACCTCGACCGTCAATACCCTCATACCTCGACCGTCAATACCTCACTCACTACGTTCTCACACCACAATGACCACCTTGAGCTCCCAAATTGTATCGAATCTCGAAACGATGGCAGAGGATCTCTCGCGCCAGATGGACTCTCAACAACCCAACCCCCCTAACCCTTCTGTGACTTTCACACAAGTAGCGAATCCCTCAAAGAAACGCAAGACTTACAAGAAAAAACGTGCAGAGGCAGTCAAAACTGGGCAGGAATCCGGATTCAATATGGCTGATATTCAAGATAAGTCGGCTGCTACCCTGCGATGTTTGGCCGAGAAGTTCGCCACGACCGGCATGAGCGGCTCAGTCCTCAAATCGATTTTAGAATTCCACGAGGAGATAGATACTATGATTGCCATCAAGGCTCTTGAGCTTGGTGTAACCGTCTCGGCTATGGAAGAAGTTTTGTAAGTTTTTGAGTTATTTGTTTTCATTACTCGAATGTGTCAAAAACAACGTAGGTAGAATTTAATGCTTTCTTATTGATCTGTCTAGTGGCAAGTTTGTTGGAGTACGTCGACGTTCGGCTTGGAACAACTTTCTCCGAAGTGACTTGGCCAGAGCGACATTCAAAGCAGGTAAGGATGATCATACTTAAATATACATACAAGCAGAGCTGATATCTTAGTGCATCTTCAATAGCTGGCGGGATCCACAGCGGCCAGGCCATGAAGGTCCTGGGTGCAGCATGGAAGAACATGGATCAAGCTGAGAAAGAGACTTACAAAGAAACCGATTCAGCAAATACTTATGACCACCTACAACTCCTAGATGAACAACTCGATGAAGTGGAAGTCGGCACTCACTCGCGACAGGCTATATTGCAACCTCGGACCAAGATACTTCTCAATGCTCGAAGTCTCAAAAAGTGTAAAGATAACGCTTGCCAACTTTTAGACGAAACTCTAGCCAAGGTCTGTCCCGGTATTTAAAGACTGATTAATGTTCAATAACTAAAGTTTGATAGTTAATGTTCATAACAGTGCATACCGGTCGCCAAGACGAACAACTTCGAGCTTGTAATCATCGCGGTTTCAAATCACCTCAGCAAACATAACTTTCAAATTACCCGTAACACGGTAGGTGCTGATAAGGCAGTTGAAGTCCTCTACAAAAAGGATGGCACCGAGAATTTCCCATGTCAATTACAAGCTTATCTGATGGGCAAATCAAGTGCTGAATTGTTCAGTCTGGTCTCAAGTAAGTACACAAATTCTCGCCCCCTCAGACCACTTTCTATATTAACATTTTCTTTTCATCTATTCTTTTATATAGACTCTGGCCGCACGTTCCAATCCCGAGTTGTACACGCCCTCTCGGACTACTTACGTAAGTGATGCCACATCTCATAAGATATCCCCAAATAATACCTGACATGCTACTTTGATTGTATGTAGATGATCGCACTAAGTTGAAACACTGGCCTTGGACCAAGTGTGATTCCACTCTATTCGACGCCGGCTTTCGATTCAGACTGTTACCCGGAGCACGGTCAGTCGAAAAGACGTTTAAAGAGGCGAGCAGCAACCTCAATCAGGCCAAATTAGTCGCGATGGAGGCTGATCTCAAGGAAGGCTTGATATACTTGGAACCAATCGACCGCTCGAGCGCTACCGCGCCAGCTAGTCCCTCAGCTCACACCAATACCATCGATCCTACCGAGACCGATGGTAACCTACTCGATCCTATGTTAACACAATGATTTGCTTGCCATACCCACAACCAACTCGACTTTCATTCAAATTTATGTTGTCAGAAGATATCCATGTTTTGCTGTCTCGATTTCTATTCATTTCTATTTCATGTTTTATAACTTTATATAATTGTCTTTGTCATCGTTTGTTATGTCTGCTGACTCATCCTTACGCCATGAAATTCATATCATTGAGTTACAATTCCGATCAATCGGCACCCAGTTCATTGGCCCAATGAACTCAACTTTGATATTTTTATAGCTTCTTCTGCCGGTGTTGCTTCCGCATGATTCAGCGGAGATAACAATATCACCATAACATAATCCCACGTATATAACACGATATGTCTCAATATGTATGCTTCTATCTCCAAAACCCAGTCGATAGAACCACATTTATCGTCTTATTATATCAACTTGCCCCACATACACGTACTTTTATGTGGGATCAGTTGTTATAAGAAATACAATAATACAATCATATCGTGTGGTGCCGGCATCGGGCATACCATGAAGTTAATTTCGACATGTCGCGTCGCCTGAGTGGGTATAAAGACCGCTTTCTTCAAGTGAGAATTCCATCACTCACATCACATCATCACTTGCGCCGTTCACAATTTTTTCATTCTGCTATTCCACCTGCTATTCCACTTTGACTTTGGGATCTTTCTTGGGCCGATCAAACTTTTATCTACATATCTACAACTCCTTCTCGCTTCTATCAATATCATCATCATCACAACTCCTTCTCGCTTCTATTACTATCATCATCACTTTTCATCATGTCTTCAGTACCACCTCCACAATTTCCAATTCGTACCAACATCAATGCGCCCCCGACGTGTATCTTCATCACGCCAGAGATGCCTGCCCGAGTCCGTTCGATTTTTTATCCAATACCTCCTCAACCAAATCAACACCCCGGAATTGCGGCGGGTGAGGACCAGTGCTTCTACTGCGGGCATTTTGGCCACCGTCAAGAACGATGCAATGACGCAAAATTGAAGAAACCACGATCAGCTGAAGATTTTGAAGACTGGCGGCGAGTCTCAGCAAATCCCAAATGGTATAGCGTGACTGCTCTATGGCCAAGCTGTGCTCCGAGGCCGAGGCGCGACAACACGCCTGAGACCGCTTTGACCTCTACCAAAGCCTTTGTTTCGGCCTTGAATGATACTTCAAAATATTTTGATTCCAAGCGATACTCCAAGTTGTAAGTTCAATCGAGTAATTCTTATCTTGTAGACTGGTTGCTGAAGTACCAAGTAGTTTTGTAGAAATCCGAGTTTGGAAATTTGGGAGACTTCAGAGCATCCGACTGATTCGAACTCCAAGAGCGAATCGAATGTACCCATATCATCGGGACCGAAACGTTCTACGGACACCTCCGAAGGAAGTCCTCGCCCCATCAAGAGACGCAACATCTGTCCTTAAGATGTTTGATGTCCTCAATATGTTTGGACTCGGAGGTTAGTCAATTATCACAAGCGGAGTTAGACTCTTATACTCTGATTGACATCTATGTTTATTATTGTAGTTACAATAGCTGAGATAGCCAGCGCTTTTCTCGGTTTTGGAATACTTTCAATATTGTTTGGACTTGAGTGAACGAGATATAAGATGTTCTAAAATACTATAAGTTGTTTTCGTTTCACATTTGAGTTGTTGATTTTGTTATCTGGTGGTATTGTATACGTAGTATCCTTAGTGAATGAGTGTTATGTTATAAGTTTGAGATACAAGGAATTGTGACCTCAACATCTTGTCCTGTCCCATTGTGCAAACCGATTTTCACTTTCAAGAGGCAAGACGTCGGTTTTGGAGAAAACTGTTTCAACAAACTGCCATCTAAATCCAATTTTATATAATGTGCTCGTGAGTCAATCCAGCCAGACATGTTCTTCAATGCAAAAAGCTGATTTTTCATTTGGCGTAAGGTAACACAGCTGTTTTTTACTTTTCGAACGGGAAGATGATGTGTTTATATGAAAAACACCCAATAAGAAAGTGCCTTTGAAAGCAATTGTTACCTACTATGTAGTTTGGACATCCCTGCCAGACACAAACTTCATTGTGAAAAGATGAAGTTTGTGCTGGAGCAGAGGGAATACCCGATTTCTACAGGATTGATTCGCTTTTTCGAAACAGAAGACGTGGATATATCAAGAATAGACCCTCTCCAGTATGTGCTTTTACATGCTTCACTCGTGAAAGCATGCTTTGAGATGCCATCTTCAATGTGAAATGAGGCCCTTTATATACAAGTAGGAGTAACCGGTGCTATTGTTATAACACTGGTTACTATTTTTTGATGGGGAACATTCAAAAGGGAACACGCTGATCTATGGTATGAGGTACCATTGATCAGATTCCAAAAACAAATAAGGTTTTTGAGATGACTGCTGTCTCATTGAAATGAGACTTTTTATCTACTCGTGGAAATATCCACGTGTAGGGGTCATTTTTGGCAACACAGTACTCAAATAAAAAAATTTGAACTCTCAACCAAATTTCAAAGTTGAGAAAGTTTTATGATTGGGCAGCATCACTTGATAAGTGGTTTACCTGTTTGACATAATATGTCTTCTCATGAATGTAAGACTGTGATTTGAGGTGTGTTTCTCATCATATGGGCATCATCTTTTGCGACAAAGTGCTCAAATGAAACTTTTGATATTTTCATGTTAGAGCAGAAGTTGAACTGGTATCATGATTGGATAGAGTCATTTTATAAATGGGTTGGGTTTTATTCAAAGACTTGTTTTACTATGGGTGTAGTGCATACCCATGTCCTTTTGAATAATGACTAGTTCCTTGTAAACGCACCTAAAAAAAGGGTAAGTCCCCCTCAAAAATTTAATTTCTTGAGTAACTCACCCTCCAATAGAGTGATGCTATCCAATAAAGAATCCGGTTGAATTTTTACTCTAACTTGAAAATTGAAGAAGTTTTATTTGAGCACTGTGTCTCAAAATACAAACCCCTTATGTTGATATTTGCACCTCAAAACACATTGATAATATACAATATGGAAATAAATTCAGAAATTTATAGATTCATGCTGACCCATCATAAAACTTTTTCAACTTCCCTTGTAAGTTGAGAATTGCAAAAGATTTATTTGAGCACTGTGCTGAAAAACATGACCCCTACATGTTGTTTTTTCCAACTCAAATCTTGATTACATCGAGATGAGAGTACATATAATATTTAGCAAGTCATTCATTAGTAGATCTATGCCACTTAATCATGGAACTGGTGCCAATTATCTTTCAATTGAAGACTTGAAAAACTTTTATATACGTCATGTGTCCCAAAATATTACCCCTACATGTAGACATTACCTACTTTGATTCTAATATCTTTTACACATGAATTGTACTTATCTTTTGTATACATGGGTTATCATGTTTCAATGGTACGGTATATACACTTATATGAACCTCTTTGTTCATATTTCACACAACCATCATCTATCTTGTGCACAAATATGTATATACCTTGTCATACATGTGATACATATATTCTTTGTGACCTTGTTTAGATCGATGTTTTGATTTTTGGGTCAAATTTATTTGAATCTTATTATTTCATATTCAAAGGAGCAGAGTTAACAATACTTGTATGATGATTACAAAACAACATCTTTTACAGAAACAACATTATATACATTCAGTTTTCGTTGGGCTCTGTCAGAGCAAGGGCATGAATGTTTCGTATGATCCCTTCATCCATTACATCATTCCATTCTTCTTCCTCATCAAAATCAGATAGATCATCATTTACATGTTGTTGTGGTATAGGGAAGACTGGGAGCTCAACACAAGGAACTTCCCTATTCTCAATGTTCAACCTTTCAAAGAGATGCAGAAAGTCCCCGCCCTTTGTGGATCCACGCCCATCCGCTCGTAGTTCCTTGATACTGTTCACTTGGGACTTCCAAAGTTGCAGCAAGGAAAAATCACCCAACTGGGCCGGGGTTCTTGTCAAGACCTCAGTAACCTTCAAATCCCACTTGATGTGCAAGGTGTTGAGCTTGATAAACTCGTTGTGTAGTAATCCTTTGATTACCACCAACTTGCCACGGAGCGATAAAGATTTGACAACCTCGTCCTGTAAGTAAGTTGTAATCAAATCGGGTGGGAGGTTGTCGCCGCTGTCTTTAAGAGCGGCCAGAATCGTCCAAATACGTGAATGTTGATGTGTAGCCCAGCGCATGGCTCTTCTTACCTCCCAACCAACTCGCCGAAGTTCTTCCTGACCACGCTCCACTCTGGCGACAGCACGCATTCCCATCTGGGTGGCACGGTCCACTGCCCAGGGTTCATTGGAGTGGGTGAAGATACCGCTGTTCCAGAAAGGATCATCGGCCTCTAACGCAATCAACTCGTTGTATTCAATAGGAGGCGAAGCAGGGTGGTGGGGATACTGTCTCTGGAAGTCGGTAGCGAGCTCATTGTAAGTATTCAAAGCTTTCTTCATGGTCCGGGTTCTTCTTTGAATTGCTGTCAAGATCCGCTCTTTCTCGTGTGTACCTATGGATATTATAAAAAATTACATTTAGAAAAGCACTTTATAAAGTACTTTATGTGCAAAATAACAAAGAGAACGGGACTTACCGAGCCTAGAACCCCCACCCACCCTGTTTTCTGGATCAAGAGGTCGTTGTTCACATCTCAAAGCCAAAAATCGACTTCGGACATCCGTTTTGGCGTACCACACCTTCAAGAGTAAATCTTGACCAAGCGCTGTTGTGGAGGGTGGGTTTTCAGGATGCCAATTAATCACATTCTTTAGAAAATAGAATCCACTTACTGGAGAGATTTGGAATGGACTCAGGGAGTCCAACCTTTCTACGCTGTTCAGTAATTTGCTGAGCAATATTCTGAAACTCTGCCAGGCGGTCGATTGCAAAGTTTGCATTACCAGAATCTCGATTCCTATGATACAATCAACATCAGTAGGTTATAAGAGTTGGTCATATTTGACACTCCCACAAAACTCACCAAGTTTGATAGGCGGCTTCCTCAAGGACGAGCAGCCGGCCTAGCTCGAGTTTTTGACGAATTTTGATGTCTTTGGCGTTTTCTTTGTTGGCAGCTCTTTCTGATTTCCATTGATCCGAGAAGAATTCAGGTGTGTAACATGAGCCTTCTTGATAAGGATTCTTCTCACGACACAATCCTCTTAAAGTCATTTGAGCTTCTGTAATTGTGGATAGTGTATGTTGTAATCGTCTTAATAACCAGTCTCCGGTGTGCATTCGGTGGCGACTTGCCATGTATTCGCATCGTAAGTCAATCAATTCGAGTCGGTGTAAACGGGTTGAGGTGCGTAAGCGTGCGATTAGGGGAGATAGATCCGACCAGTTTCGCTCGGATCCTTCACCATCTGTAAGGCCCCAATCTTCGAGAAACCGTGGGTTATACTCTAGTTGACAACTCCACGAATGCACAAATGCATGAAATACCGAAGTGGCTAGCTTGATTTGGTGTTGATGCTCGGGTAGATGCTTGTGCTACAGATCAGGATAGTCAGAATCAAATTGTTTTACTAAAGACAAATATAAATGTTTCTGACTTACTAATTTTATGTGCTTGTTGAGATGGCATCCAATGTCATAGAGGATTCCAAACTTACTATTTGGGAAGGCGTCCAAGATAATCTTCATCAAGGTCAATGGATAGTACATTCTAAATGTAATCGTTGATGTCAGGACAGTGAAATCAAATTTCAATCAATAGTTAGTGATTCGACTAACTTTTCTCCAGATTTATGTATATTTGCCATCAGTAGAGGGACGTCGTGGCGGCAGGCTGCTAAGAAAAGACCTGTATCGTCGCATTGGTCCCATGTTGATGAGTTACGGGCGTCGTTGGCAGTCTTGTGAGAATCTGAACAAGGATCCTACAGGCGTATGGGTCAATTCGTGGGTCAATCAAGGCAGAAGAGCACATAAGAAATGAGAAATTACATACATCATCAACTGGTCTGATCCCACTGTTGACTGCGTTGACTACGGCTGCATTATGCGGATCTATTTGAGACGGTCGGACGAAAAGATCCGGATATTGGTCCTCTTTGGGTTCATCTTTACTGGCAAGGGCGTTATGTCGATGCTGGAAGTTGCCATCCATGCAGAAGATAACGTCAGGCTCGTCACGAGACTTCTTGATTTCGTTTTTGGCCGGTCCAAAACATCGACCACACCGATCAGCCCAATGATCGGTTTTGGTGAATTCCAGAGATCGGTGCAACAGTCGTCTGGTTAGAACTGTAATGCGGTTATATACATGTGTGGCAGTTGAGAAAGGCTGAGTTAGGTTACGCCGATTGCCTCGATGTCCTCGGGCCAGAAGGGGTACGTTTGACCGGGGATCAAGAAAATTAAGTATGCCTTCAATAAATCCTGATGCGACACATACTGTTGTTTGGTGTAAAAAGTAGTACAGTTGTAATAATCGGATAGAAAAGGCAGTGTGGGGTTTCCGTGGGGTTGATGGGAGGTAACCTTGGTAAACTAGCTGGATTGCTTCAGGGAAGCACCTACAAAATCGTATGGACTTTGAACTCGATCTCCCTGTTGAGACAACTCCTATCAATATCAATTTGACTGTATTGAATGCGAGAAAGACTTCTCACCTAGTATATCTATGATATCGAGTGATCTATGATAGATACAAGCATCCTCACATTGGCAATCAAGGCTACTGTCGTCCAAGTAAGAATCTTTGGTTGTCCAGTTAAGCGTATGGACTTGTGATTCAAGGTACGCTGCAGTGATTTCGTTCTCGATGTCTGACCATTCTTGGCGGATTCTTTCGCGGCGTTTAGCGTACCGCTGTGCTCGATGATGCTCGACAAATTGTTGAATCACACCATTTGGATCCAAGTTGACGGTTTCACCTTCGGGTACCGGCGCATCTTCATCTCCAAAAACCATGATTTCCTCATCGTAGAGGTCGTCGTCATCGGGCTCAAGGTCTGGGTTGGCGTTGGCGTCGTTTTCAGGTTCTTGAACAGGTGAGAAAGCTCCTTGGAGTATCTTTCTTGCTTCTTCAACATCTTTCCGTAGCCTGGTTTCGTGCGCAGGATCCTCCTTTGGAACTCCCTTCCGCTTGCGCTCTTCTGTGACGTTAGACGTATCGGAACATAAAGCTTTGCGACGGCGTGGCATGAGTGTTGTATGATTATTTTGATGAGTAGTTGATTTGATGAAAAAGATGATAGGAATGAATATGTTGGATTCAATGAGAGAGACGAGATTGATCATTCGAATGAACTGAATCGAGGTGTTTCGAAGGATATGATGACTAGGTGATGATATCGAGAGGTGGGATATGACTTGTGTAAAGTGAGCAAGTGAAATATCCGTGGTGGTGTGTAAATGTTGTATCGTGTAAGCAACCCCGCTGAGACTTGGTAAACAGTACCGGGTCGAGGCCATTTGGAAGCTTCAAACAGAGTCTCGAGATAATAGTGAGAACATGTGTATGTAAGTGGTGTGTTGTGTAAGTGGAAGCGAGGGGAAATGAGATGAAGGAAAAACTATCTATGATCAGGTTACATGTCTTCGATAGATACTGTTATCATAGGTAGAATAGAGTCGACAGGGGTGAAAGTTGGCCCGGTTTCAAGAAAACCCAGTTGACCCGGTTGCTTTTTGGCAGTAACCTTGTGTATCGAGTTGACATTTTTTGACAGATCACAGCCAAAAAGTCAACTGGGTCAACCGGGTTTTTACAAACCGGGTCTACTTTGAGAACCCCTAATGCAAAAAAAAAAAAAAAAAAACACGGTGCACACTCAGACCCGAGTGACTCGGTCTTCCTCCCAGTGATTTCTGGACACCTATCCAGAACCATCGGAGGCCGAGGAAATTTACCCCCTGGTGTAACTCATCTGACAAGCTCCGACATCGAGGTCATCTCGTGTTCTCGACGTTCCATAATTACTTATTATGTACTTAATTGCCAATCTTCACCGCCACAAACAAATACATGTAGATTTCCTATGCCAAGTTTCTTGAGCTGTCTTTGCAAAATCAAAAGTTGGAGGAGTCTCCGGCTGTCTCCGGCCATGACATAAAGCATCAAGTGTCCCAGCCATTCGGATGGGTCACACTCATCCGGGATCCCTCACCGCCACAAACAGATAGCTTTCGCATCATGGCAAGTTTCTCAAGCTGTCTTTGTGAAAGCAAAAGCACGGGAGCTGTCACAAGCAGGTAAAGGCCGACGTTCCATAATTGCCAATGCTCACCGCCACAAACAAATAGAGTTCCCGTGGCAAGTTTCTTGAGCTGTCCTTGCGAAAGCAAAAGTTGGAGGAGCGCGTGTATAAAGCAACTGAGCAGTTGGAATGGGTCACACTCATCCCGCTCCTCGTTTACGTTTTCTCGTACTTGATAAATCAATCAATAATACTTTGACTCGTTGATTCTTTTTTATTTTACTTCAACTCAATCGAACCACTCTTTATCATGCATATCTCTGTCGCTTTTCTTTTGGCTACGTTTGCCGGTGAATATTTACTTTCGTGATCACAGCTCTTAAAGTCTTCCGTGCTCATGTTTCCTTTCGTCACGTTTTTTCACTCCAGCTACCGGACGTGCTGCCCCGAGCTTGGCACAGTAAGCAATCGTTTCCCATCGTTCCATCGCCTTGCATGTGCTGATAGTCAGCTTGACTTTTTCCAAAGTTTGGATGCTCGTACGATGATTGCTACTCCAGGACAACATATAGGTAAGTGCCAACTCCATCCTTTGTCAATATATTACAGTAGCCCTCCGCTATCAAGTCCCAAACTTCACGTCTCTAATCCCACTGTTGCTTCCTTCAGATACCAGCGGTTGGGGTCAAAAGAACCCTAACGTGCATACCACCACCGGACAGGATTTGCTCAACAACAGTCCCACCAGCATTGACGATGGTCTCGGGCCGGTGATTCCGGATCAACCCAATCCACCAGTTGTTTCGACTGGCTCTGGTATATCTCGACGTCCCGATGGAACTATCATCGGTAGCCCCACCGGATTTCCGGATCAACCCAATCCACCAGTTGTTTCGACTGGTTCTGGTATATCTCGACGTCCCGATGGAACTATCATTGGTAGCCCCACCGGGTTTCCGGATCGACCTATATTCCTTCCCAACAACGTTGTTCCGACGGGGTTTTCAGATTTTGGAACCTTTTATAATACCTTTCGATACTCCCAACAGAGCTTCTTGAATGTTGTTTCGCAATGGCAGACTCCAGGTTTTTCAATTAACTTGGTCAGGTCACAATTCAGTTTGTGGATCAACCAATTGTTTCAAACCGTCTCACTGTTCCAAGGAGGCTGCGGTATCTGTGATCCACGATACGCTGGACAGGTTTGCAATTTATCATTGGCTCCATTGTAATTCAACTCCTGTCAATGCATGTTTGATGCTCACCCACGTTCCTTCATTTGCAGTTCCAAGCACTGGCCACCAACCTGCTACGCGACATCCAATACGCCTTACAAATCATCCGATTCCAGTATGGCAGTCTTTGGGGCCAGTTTTCGAGTAAGCCGATTAGATGATTGTTCAATGCATGTCTCGTTAGCCTCCACTCATCATTTCTCTCGTAGATGAATTCCAACTTCTGCGCAACATCATCCGAGTGATCTTCGGCCTCGCTGGAACCTTCGGTATCAACCTCAACTCCTGGTTCAATACTATCAACTTGAATGCCGGTTTATTCCAGTCCATTAATATCCAAATTCCCAGATTTATCAGTGCTTCTCCCAGGGTGTTACTCAATGTTAATCAACAATTCTAGAGAGTCGTGAAATAGGCACTCTCTTTTTTCCTTGCGACCTTTTAATGTTATCTTGTCGCGTGATCTTTGAACGGCTTCGTGTTTTCCTGATTCATTTCCTCTTTCATTCGTTCACGCTCTAATATGGCATTATTCTATCTTAATGAGTAATGCATTATACCTGCTACCAACTATCTACCTTTGCGATCAGTGACGAATTTGAGAGTCCCGTCTTTTCCAAACCCAGAGCCGCATTACCTCGCTGTAGCGGCATCCAGCCTCTTACCCTCAGTACTTCAGATCCCAGGTGGTGTTTGCGTGCTCTGCATGAGACCTGTACCTTCCATGTCGTCACACAGCAGGTTTACTTCTCCGCCCTCACATAGCTCTCTCCACCGCAAGCGTTCGAGACGTGGAAGTCCAACCGAGAAGCTTGCAAAGCCCTAACATGAACGTTGCCCTGTTCAGCAACTCTGATTTTTCCTGTCCAGATCTTTTATCGATCTCAGTCCTCCTCTGTTGATACACAAGCCTAGAAGCATATTTTCTAAGCTTTCTTCGGCTACCAGCTCAGAGACTGAGTGTAAATTAAATGCCAGGTACTTATTTATGCGATTTTGTATCATCTTATTTAAGGAAGCTCTCAATGCCTGCAATCCTTCCATCTTGTTCCCGCGTTTTTCGCGTGAACCCTCCCGTTTCCCAAGTGGGCTTGAAACAAATATGTAGCAATTATCTCACTTTTTCACGCATATTTTGTCCACTTAAATCGTAATCTTTGTCTACATAGGAACCTTCTGTTTGATAGACAAACCTTTGTTCAATGCGAACATGTGCTTCTCGTCAGCTTAACAACTTCTTCATCCAGCTTTGCGATACATCCATCGTCATCGAAGTACTCGTGTTGAAAAGAGGCAAGTACTGGATCACATTTTGAGAAAGACCTTATGCCAAAAAACATGTTGGATCCTGCACACTTGCCTTGACCGTGGTGACAGCCCTTCCATAAAAGCGAGACTTCGATCTTTTCAAGTAAGTCTTCCAAACTGCCGTAGGAAACGTGCTTTGATTATGCGAGGTCAGTCATCACTTCATATCTCTGTCTGACCAGGCCTGACCCATCTCATAAGAGAGATGTGATCTGCATTGAGGTGTTCACAACTTCAATGAATCTCTCACAGTCGAAATGGCCTTTGACCCAACTCATGGGTCTTTATACATACTTGATCAAGCTCTACACACTCCTCCATTGAAATCTCCTCGTTTCTGTTGGGCTTAAAATGTTAGTCAATAGGAGTGTACATTGTCATTTGACCGTTAATGCCTCCGATGATACGGGTGTAGCAAGTGATAATCTTGATCCAGTCATCCAGTTGCTACATAGTTATATCAATCAAACACTATCCTTACAGATTCTCTCTGTGGAATCTTTCAGTCACCCAAGCGAGAACAATCTCTAATGATCGTGAATCGACCAAGTCCCTTCGAAAGTCCGCTCAGTTGAGCTTAGGAACTGGGGGCCTTCCACAGATAATTATTTCTACAAAGAGTGGTATGGTCCTCTGATATGTCTGAAGCTACAATATATGACTATTTTGACGATTGAGCATTGAGAATGGAGGAAAGTGGAGTGAAGTGGGATCAGGTGGGATAGGGTGGGATCCCTTGAACACCCCGCATACATACAGCCTAAGTTTTCTTTACACGTACACACAGCAGGTCTGGTCAACCACACCCAACACAACACCAAATCAGTCTGTTTGCCATCATCAACTTCACCGATCAAGTTCTCAATCAAAGACAACAACAATAGTCAGTCAAATCAAACATGTCACCTCAACCAGAAGAGGACTTGAACCCTCCCATCTCACCGACTACAGAAAGAAAACAAGTTCGTAGAAGGAAGAAACTTCATCCAAGGGATCGAGCCGATCATAACGCGTCTCATGAGCAAGGTGCTTCAAGCTTCAATCCGAGCTCATCACCTCATTCTCCTGACGATCAACCTACATCTATCCCACTTCCTTCAAACATCTCATTACCAATCACTATCGTTCATCTCTTCGTTCCTCATTCACTGTCTCATTTATCTCCGACCGAGGCTACAACATCTACGATCACTTTTTCGCATAAATCTCAATCTAATTCCGAAGTCTTGAAGACTACTCCACTCTTTAGCTATCTGGAAGGAACTGTAGACCCGTCAAACTCTCTGGCGCGTTCGGATTCAAATTCTAGTCTGGGTACACCCTCAAAGGGCAAAAATCGAGCTCTTGAGAGCAATCCACGCGTCTCTGACTCTTTCGATCAGGACTCAGGCCCTGCTCTATCAATCTACGAGAGCCCGGTAAAGGGAGAGCTGGTGAAATGGTGTATCACTGAAGGCATGGTACTGGAGCCAGAGGCCGGATGGCACACTAAACCTCTACTGTTGATCAAGGAGCCGTGTACACATGCAGTTCAATGGCAAGGGCAATGTGCTATCTGTGGTCGTGATCTGACGATGTGAGTCCAACTTTCGATTGACTTCACCCTATGAATATCAGTTGTCAAATCGTAACTGCTCTCAACCGAACGTATTCTGTTTGTTACGTGTCTTCGCTAGTAACAATGCTTCTAACCAGTCCTCGTTATATGTTCTTCAATGCCCTTCAGTTCGGATTACACCGGGATTTCAGAAACCTCAAGAGCTAGTATTCCAATGTCACATGGACCTTCTACTTTAACCGTATCTATCTCCGAAGCTCGGAGGCTTGAATCTGAAACACGAAGTCGTTTACTGAAGGATACTAAACTATCATTGATTGTCGATCTCGATCAAACCATCGTTCATGCCACTGTTGATCCTACAGTAGGTGAATGGATGTCAGATCCAAAGAACCCGAATTGGAGCGCCTTACAAGGTGTTGGAAGATTTCAACTTAACGATGGACCTAATCTAGGAAATGATGGGTGCTACTATTATCTCAAAATGCGGTACGCGGTCCATGTTCTTGAGTCTTGAAATTTATTGCTTTTACTCATCATGTCTATCTTGTTTTAACCTTTCAGACCTGGTTTGTCCGAGTTCTTACGCACTCTGGCTGAGAAATATGAAATGCACGTATATACTATGGGAACGAGGGCATATGCGGATGCCGTTTGTCGTATCATTGATCCCACAAGTGAACTGTTTGGCAGTAGGGTACTAAGTCGAGATGAAAGTGGAAGTGAGTAGTCGTGTTTAATTGGCATCCAACTCAACATTCCATCTGACTCTTTTGCATCATTGAATGAAAGGTATGACGCAAAAATCTCTGACGAGACTTTTTCCTGTCGATACCAGTATGGTAGTCATCATCGATGATCGGGGTGATGTCTGGGAATACAGCCCTAATCTAGTATCGGTCGTACCATGTAAATCAGTCTACTAGTCTGCGTTGGATTTGGCTGCATTACTGACTATGTTTACATTCCTTTAGACAACTTCTTTATAGGAATCGGTGACATCAATGGAGCTTTCTTGCCTCCAGCTCGTCAACTTCCGTCATCATCCCTAGACACCACTAGCACTGACTCGACCCAAGCCTCTAAGCCTGATGCTAGTATTGTATCTACACCTCAGATGACTCTTACAGATCCTTCTGGGACATCTGATACAATTCTCACCTCAAGCGAGACTGAAACACCTCGATCTACAACTCCGACGTTTTCCTCTTCTGCTGATGTCAATTCAATTCAAGTCTCTGAGACCTCTATACCCACAACTAAGCCTGCGGTCACCGCTCCTACTCCGTCAGGATCAGGAGCCAGCACAGAAGCTTCAGATGCTCAATCAAAGCTACTAGCTGATCAAGTTTTAGGACGTCCTCTCAAGCAGAAACAAATCGAGTTAGAAGAATCTCATCGTGGCCAGAATCAAAAATCTGATCAGACTGTTCGAAGTAGTGTCAGTAGCAATGAGAGTGTAGTAGGCGATCCTTCTCAAAACTCGTCTGTTACTCCAAAAACCATACATGATCCAGGAGTAGTATCGGAGCAAAAAGATGAACAAGATCAACCACAAGCTGAAAAACATACTGGTAAACAGAAGATTGGAATTTTAACTACATGAGCGTATCACATGAATTGATCTCTTGTTTGCATGTACAGATTCGAGACCCGAGAGTCAGGGTACGACTGATGTCAATAACGCGGAAACAATTGGTCAAGAGGATTGCTCGGCAATGGGAAGAGCTGTGTTGGTAGATCAGGATACCGAATTGAATAGATTAGGATTAGTAAGTTCATAACCAACTAAAATCTTGAGCCTAGAACTGACTGTTCGCGATTTTATAGATTCTTGAAGATGTACATACAGGTTTTTATTCTCAGGATGTGATCGAACAAGCTGATATTCGAGTTGAGTGTCTTGCTTTTTCTTACATACACTCTTGATCACCGAACATGCCAGCTTACACGAAACCTTGGCCTCGGCCTCTTTTGGGAACTGTATAGGACGTGATATCTGCTTTGAAACAAGATGTTTTACAAGGTGTTCATTTGGCTTTCTCTAGTGTTTGGCCAATGGATGCGATTCCAGACCAGTTGAGTACTTTTTCATACTTTTATCAGTCAAACCTGCGAACCAGATTGTTTTGTCGAAAACTAATTTATCCTCTCACGATTTAATCCCTGTCTTCGTACTGGAAACTGTCCCAAAATTAGGCAAGACGCTTGGAAGCTTGCTGAACAGTTTGGTGCACAGTGTTATACTAGACTCACGCCACGCGTCACTCATCTTGTGGCTGCCAAGGCAAGTTCTGCAATCGATTCATCACTAATAAACGAGAATAGCTAATAGGCAAATATGATTTTGAATTTACAGCTTGGAACTTCTAAAGTCAATATAGCTCTAACCCGTCGAAAGGTTTCAGTTGTGAAACCTAAGTGGTTATATGATGCAGTGACTTTATGGCGACATCCAAATGAAGAAGAATATTTATGGAAAAGACCAGAAGGAGAAGAATGTGGACCAGAGTTAGAAATTGAAGATGATAATGATGGATGGGGAGCAGAAATGAAAGAGTTCGATTGGAAAGATGCAGCAGATGAAGTGATGGCTGCAATGGAAGAATCATCAGAAGAAGATGAAGTGGTGAAAAGAGGTAGAAGAGATGAAGAAGGAGATTCACCACTTTCGAAACGACAAAGGTTAGCTAGATCAAGGTCCTCGAAATTAAGGGAGGTGGTGGTTGGAGTTGAAGAAGAAGAAGATCAAGATCAAGATCAAGATCAAGAGGAGAGGAGAGAGGACAGGGAAGGTGGATCGATTGAATTAAGCCCGGAAGAAGATGATTTTCTGTCTGCTCTTGCGGCTGAAGTTGAAGGGGAGATGGATGATCTAGGCGATTTGACATGATCAAGAATCAAATGAACAAAGATCAAGCAATCATCCAACCATCAGTAACTTGGATGAATAAAATTGGAATGTTCTATATGTGGGAGTTTGTCTTTTTTCATTGAAGGTTTTGTTTTTTGAGAGTGTGAGGAAGGTGACAAATAATTGTCGATTTTACCTTTTGAAGTGGATGGTTGGAATATTTTGAATTTTGATTGAAATTGTAATGAATGTATGCTTGCTTTGATTAGGATCTATGAACCTTGGATTTTTTTGACGAGTTGAAGATCTGAATACAGAGAAGAAAAAGATGAATGATTTGGCTTCTTTGTTGATTCTTGAACTTTTGACATGAAACTTTACGTCTCTGAGGATTAAGATTGTTTTGGTCTTTTTCAGCAATTTATATTTTCTTGACTTTGACTCCATTCTAATTGTTATCTTTTTCATCCTCACATTTCTTTCTTTCATCATCTCTGTTGTTTACCAAATGTCAATCGACTTCAAGCTCATGTCCACAATCATCATTATCTTCAGTTGGAATACAATTATCACACTTGGAGAAACTGGAATGGCAAGTAGGAAATTCATATGGGAGGTTCTATCAAGGTGATATGTGAATGTGTCTTTGAGACAGATGATATCAGGTTAGTAAAAGGCCTACAAGGTACTGGACATATTCAAGTTCTAGAAAACTGATGATATCAATTGGTAACAAGTCACTAGAATTGTGGTCAAATTATGAAGTTTTGCCTTGTTTTGCATCTTTGAAATCCATTTCAAGACTTCGTATCTTCCCTTCTTGTTTCAATCTTCTTGCCAAGGTTGAAATATGATGGAAAAACATTAACCTCTAGGTAGCAAGCCCGCGCATACCAAGTATGTAAATAGGTTGAGATAGGAGGATTGAATTGATTTCATCAAAATGGACAAATGAAAATCAAAATGATGAAATGGAACTGGATGAAATTAGTGACAAAGTGAGATATGAACATGAAATCGAATAACTTGAGGACTGTTTTGAAGAAACCCTAATTGAAGCAGGAAATAAGAATTAATGGATAAAAGAAGGCTTTTTTTGTGTATAAACTTGCTTTCTTTCTTTGGAAAGGGTAAACGAAGACATTGGGATTTGGTCCTGATCAATGAAATTTCATTGAAAGGGTTTCCTTGAAGAAGTTGTGTGTATGATGAAGTTGATGTTACAAAGATTCTTCTCGTATGGTTCTTGGCAATGGAGTATCAAAATGTCCCTCTTGCCTGGCCGCATCAATAAGCTTACCTAAGCCCCTCTTCCGACGCGGCCGGGCCACGTCCGCTCTCGAAAAAGTTAAGCTTGAGGAAACAACGAGCTAATTCATGAACTCGTGCCAATCTGACACGCTCGTCATGTTCGCCTGAAGCTGCGCTTGTGCCGTGGTTGCGTCTACAGAAAGGCTTTGGAGTTGTTCAGCTGGGCTGACAAAAGACAACGAAATTGAAGACATTGAAGAAATAGTGTAATCAGTATGCGTAACTGGAGAGGCAAAGTCATGATCACCCCGATGGGCGTGGTCAAACCTTTCAGCTAGGATTGTCATGTTTTGGTCGCGGCTGAAGTCTCGAGCTATAAAACCAAAGGCTTTCTTCACCATTCTCTGATTCCTCATCCGTTCATATCACCAGTTCATACCAGTCACCCTCCGATCTTCTTATCCCTGCAAATAAATTGTACAAATCTCATTATCTTTGTTTTTAGTTTGTTTTTATATCAATCAATTATCATTTACTCTTATCTTTAGTTGAGCCTTCGTCACCTTCGCCAAATAATACCTCCTTTAACTCATACATATCAATATGCGTATCAATTACGGTTTTGTTGCCACCTCCGTCGCCCTTTTGTTTGTCCTCGATTCCAGTGTCACAAACTCTGTCTCTGCATCTTCCGGTGCCGAAGTTTCAAGGTTTGTCAGGTAAGTTTTCATCTTCTTTTCAAGCTCCGAAGTGGTCTTTTTAAATGGGTGCTTTTACATTCATAGAACACTTGTTCGTCGATCTTTAAACGCTGGCGGTGCCAATGACGATTCTACTCAGGGTCAATCAGGGTAAGGCTTCTCCAACTCTCCTCATGCTCTGACTTGGACAAAAAACTAATCGATACCTTGTAGTCCTTCTCGTCAATCGGGCGTTCCTCAATTAGGACTCTCTCCTGCTATGATGCAACGAGTCTCAGCTGGTCTTGTCAGCTCAATTGCCAAATTTTCAGCTGACATGGAGGCAGGAGTCGAATTTCCAACTCAAGAAGAAATGACAAAAGCAGTCGATGAAGCACTTGAAACTGCAGATGACAGATATTTTTTAAAAATGGCCCAAGCTATCAAGAACTCTATTGACGCTCTTGCTGATCGTAAACTTGCTGAAGGTGAAACCGGTGAGAGTCGGTAAGTCATCATTTCGTCCCCCAAAATCTCGTGTATCATTCGTCTAATAATTCTTCTGATCTTACTTAGCGCGTCAAAGGCTCCTAAATCCGCCTTGAACAAGCTAACTTTTCCAAGATCTTCTCAACAAATTGCAACTGCCTTATTAGAAACTATTCACATGTTCTGTGAACAAAGAGCTGCCGGTGGTCGATTACCAAATGCATCTGAAGTGAATCGAGCATTAACTCCAGCTTTACAAGACATCGACTTTGTCAATTTCAACAAAGTCAATGTTAAGAAAGGTGCAGAGGCTGTCAAGTTTGGTTTAGATCATATGGGTACTAACAAAAACTCCGAAGTTCAAGGACTTCCTATCCCTACCATGGCTATTCCTATTTCAACTCAGAAATCCGAAGTTCAAGCTTGATCCAAAAGTTTCTATTTATTCAATTGTTTGATCTCACAGTTGATTATTTACCATCAGGGCAGGTACCGCTCATCTATGTGAAGTGATATATTTCTTTCTTCTTTGTCATTATATTTCAATTTTCACTTGTATCCGATAATGAAACAAACTTTATCATTTTATGTCATCTCTTTGCTTGTAAAAACTTTCAACTCCGAAGAGACCAATTTTCTTACTTTCAATTAGAACCTATTCTTGTTACTCAAAAGGACATTTTCTTACCAACCGCGAGAAATACATTTTCATTGTTTTCCAAAAGTTTTTATAAAGGAAGCCAACCAATTCGTCAGATTCCACTCATTATAGACCAGTGAAATCATTGAGAACAATACAAGCATCACCAATTCAACTAAGCAGGGGGTGTACATAAGTCTTGCTGAGGGAATTGTGTGCCCCATGAATCTAACACACATTGTCTACTTCAGCTCGTGTCTGAGCAATTTACTCCTCATGATTTCTCCGAACATAAATCTTTACCATCTCACCACAAAGGATTTTTGCAATGTCAAATTTATCTCAACTCAATGTCGAACCTCGAACCAACACCTGAACCGCACCGCTGCGATCCGCTTTTCCGGCCAATTTGTGTAACGGTACATCAACCCGCCACAGACACCATCCGCTCTCGCTCCGCTTAGTTTTAAGACCCACTACAGAACTAAGGTAGCGCCGCGGGTTCAAGAGGCGCTCGCGCTCCGCTCACGTTTTTTTAGTGTCATCAGAGCGGCCAGGGTGGTACTATTCACAATTTTTTTTTTATTAAATATGCACAAAGAAAGTTATACATACACGAAGAGCGAGGTAGAAGTAGAAAACACAAACAGGCACCATTTTTCTTGCCAGAAACAGGAACACAGAACAGAAACATATTAAGCAAAAGAAACAAAGGTTACAAAAGCACGAAACTTTTCAAACGAGTGTAGAAGATGACACACAATCAAAGGAAAGAAAAAGAGAAAAAAGAGAACCAGTAAAGAAAAGAAATAGGAGACTTGAGGTAAACTGAGCACGCCCAACATCTAGCCAAGCAGAAGAAGCCAGAATAAAACAGTGACAAAAAATAGAGAATTGATTGAGAAAAACCTATAAGAGACATAAATGATGTAACAGTCTAATCCACCTTCTTTTTCTTGGTCATATTGGCTGCAAAGGAGGACACATAAGCAATTGCATCAGCAAATCGGCCCAATACAGGAATGTGTGAATGTAGCCATTGTCTATATCCAACAGCGCGTTGGATAGTCCTGGCTTTCAAAGAGCCACGTGCGGGAATTGCAATGTCCGCTGCAGAGGAGAACGTGCGTTCAACACAGCACGAGGTAGCCGAGATTGAAAGGTAATCTCGGGCAATTGTGGCCAGAACAGGGAATTGAGCGGAATTTTCCTAACAAAATGCAACTTTTGATCAGTTTCATTTGCTGAGCTTGAAACTTGAAAAAAATCTCACCTTCCACCACGTGAGTTCACATTGGCCAGGCGTAATCGGCACAGTGCCTTGGAGATAGATTTCGAGCTCGGATGATTGGATGGAATTGGAGGATCGAAAAGTAGCCGACGAGGTGAATATGTCGAAGTGATCAAAAGGGTTACTAGATGTTGTTGGAATGGGAGGAGGAGTCAAAGGAGGAGTTACTGGCCAAGCAGCCAAGGATCTTTGAAACAAATTTTCCATAAGATCTTGAGCCCTCTCGGAATGTTCGCGATAGTGAAGGTCAAAGAAACGAAGCCGATACTTGGGGTTCATGATGGTAGCCAGTACAATCACGTCGGACATAGCAGCTTCTTCTCGATAGACAGCCAGTTTGCCCAGCATCGTATCAATCATGGTGATCAAGGTGGGGAAGTTGGAAGCATCACGCAACTGGCTAAGCACCTCGGTCACACGCAGGTACTCGGCCAGGAGGACGGAACCCGAAGCAAAGTCTCCCTCCATTCTCTTGGTGGAGAAGTGGAATACCTGAAATTGTAAATTAAGTAGAGTTAGTTTAATTATGTTTGATGGAGATAGCAGATATCAAAAAAAGGAAACTTACTTTCAAAACCTTGCATAGCTCCTCCATTGTCATCATTGCCCCTTGATAATACCTTGTCTTTCGATCAGCGATGAGGATGGAATCAATCACCTATAAAATGAAATTGTAAGTTGAGCTGATAGATACAAAAAAAAAGTGACTTACATCTCGAGCAGAAACCAAGTTGGAATACATTGCTAAGTCAATGTTCCAGCGTACTCCCCATCCAGCAATAGGAGCTGGACCTTCATAACCCATTTGAGCGGCTCGAGCAGCAAATTCGCCCCGTCCAGCATTACTTCGGGTTAGGAGGGCATTGATGTTCTTGAGCTGATGTATAGGTTGTTTTAAGTCAGCATACACCAAATTGGAAAACGGTTGACCAAAGTAAAAAATGGAGAGAGACGCACCTTGATAGCTCCCTGAACCACCAAGCAACTTTGAGAAGGGACATAATTGTAACCAGGACCGTCTTCGACATTGGAGGTGGTCTCATCATGAGCCTCTGATGAACGTGGGGCGAAGATATCGTCATCTGAGTCGTCTGAGTCACATAGAACCTCGGTCATGTCGTCGTTGAGTACAATTGAGGGGATTGGGATGGAGGTGTTAGGAGGAGTTGTTGGTTTTATATGGCCAGCAGCCAAACCTAAAGAATTCAAGCCATGCTTTACAACCAGTCCGAGCTTATGGGCAAAGCATCGGACGTGATTCTTGGCCAAATCCCATTGGACCTTCTCTTCAGACTGTAAGAACAATTCTTCCATCTCTTGAGCCATGGTGTTGTTGTTGGACCCAGAGTCTGTCGTTTGAGCTATCATGTAAACAATTCAAAATCAAATTAGTTATATGTAAGGATGATAAGCTGAATAAAAGAAAATACATATCTTGGTATGGAGCTTGTGTGCAATCAAGTATCGGGCCACCGGTCTAGCAAGTAGAAAACCCATCTTGTTTCACGCTACCAACTTGAGAGTGAGGTGAATTGAGCGGTACTTCCAATCATCGTCGATGAAGTTCGCCGAGACTCCAATGAAGGCGTAACGATTACCCCTCGTAGTCCAAACATCGTGGACAAGGGAAAACTTTCCTGAGTTATTCTGAAAACAAAAGGAAATTCAGATAAAGATTCAACCGATTTAAGAAAGTGAAAAGTAATAAAGACTTACGGCTACTAAGTCAATCGCCGCCGAGCTTAAGTGAACATAGAGCTCCTTTGAAATCCCAGCAGCCCATGTTGGGATCCTCAAGTCAGCTCGCCTATTGGCTAGCTTGAAAGCCGCGCGAAGAGGACAGTCATAGAAGCGATTAAATGGGAGAGCATGCCATAGAATCCAGATGACTAGAACTATGTTGCATAGTTAGTCCGGATTGAATCGCACGAGCTCGTTGGGGACACGCAGCTCTACCTTTAGCTCCGTCTCGATGAGCATACAAGTTGTAGTGGCTACGAGCTCCTCGAATAAAAGTCCCCTTACACCAGCGGCACTTGAAGCTTTGGGGGTCATTCCCAGACTTCAAACACATGTTGTGGTATCATGGTCAGAGCAGAAACAAAAAAAAGAGATTAACCAGGGAAATAAAACCAAAGAAATCATGTGAATCAAAATAGAAACAACTATCTTACCTCGCCTTTGACGTGAGTCGGGGGAAAGTAGAACTCCAGCAACTTGCCAACTCGTTCCAGTTGAGCACGTCGGACACCAGGTGTTTCAACAATTTCAATCTCAGACTCTTGATCAACATCAATCACTTCGGGAACAACAGCCTAAATCCATCAAAATGAAGCATTAGTAGGAGCATTTGACCTTTCAATAATGTCGAAGTGAAAAACTTACCTCAAGTTGGCCTTTTTTAGTTTTCTTGGACGGGCGTCGAGACAAGCCAGCTGAAGCTCCAGAGCCACGAGGCTCGCCCCGTCTTTTGACAACGTGAACCCTGGCCTTGGACTTCTGAGCCGTCTTCTTGGTTTTGGGGTTTGAAGGACCTTCATTGCTAACCACTTCAACACTTCCGATACTTCCGATGCCATCTGTGGTGTCGGATTCATTGTCACTGATCTTGTAAACACTTGGTTTGTCTTCAGACGCAACCAGTTCACGAATAGGAGACGGCCGAAGAGCAGATACACGCAGATCAGGAGACTGAGCGACAAATCCAGGTCTAGGGTGTGTGGGAGTTCTCGGACGAAGAGTGGGACCAGTAGTAGATGGAGCGATAGCAGAAGTTGGGGGTAACATGATGTTTGGTGATTGGAGAGTGGGAAAATAAAAGGAATTGATTGGCTAAGTTTTAACAGAGGATTCGAATCAGCAGGATTTTCAATGGTCAGAAAATGTGCAAGTGAGAGGGTACAAAAAAGTAAAACACTCACTTTATATATACTATCATGGACACAAATTTCAATCATCATCATGGGGTAAGCCATGACCCCAAATTTGAGAAGGCCAACCCCTACGTGATGAGGATAGGTCAAGAAGGTGAACTAGTTGAGTTATCGAATTTGAATCTAAGATTAATATGACAATGAGGTGGGATATCTTCAGCTTCAGCCAAGGCAGGAGAGAAGATGATGGAAGACTTGAAGAGATCGAACTCACTTATAAGGCTGGTGATGGGCGTTTGGTTTTGAAGTGAAGGCGAGATCGAGAGAGTGGTGCGCAGAAAGGATGGTGGAGGTGGTGGTTCCTTTCAGGTCTGATATCTGATATCGGACGATATCCTGAAAGGAATCGGCCTATGTCAAAGGAAGTGACATATGCCGATTTAACCCGCTACATGCAAGATGTGACAGCATGCAGCGCTGCGGTATTTCCTACCGCCCCACTATGTCCGCGCTCCCCTACATTGAAAAAAAAATGGGGAGAGCGCAGGCGGGGCGGGGATACCCGCTACACGGGTTTTCCCGAAGCGCGGGCGGGGCGACCCGCTCCTCTTGCGCTCCCCTTC